GTCCACGTGCACCGCCTTGGTCCTGTTGGTAAACAACACCAAGTCCACTTTAGTCCTGGTCCAATGCATAGAGTTTATCAGGGCGCTCCTGGACGCAGTGTCGGCCAGGGCCTCTCTCCCGCCAGACAGATTCAAGACCCTGAAAGGTCTCATGGACTCGGTCACAAGGTTCCTGGTGACACAACAGCCAGGGTTTGCCTGCAACTCTTGGGTCACATGTCGGTGTGCACGTGCGTGGTCTGTCACGCCAGACTCAGGATGAGGTCCCTCCAGCTCTGGTTGGCCTCGAAATTCTCCCAGGCCACGGAGAGGACGGACAAGGTCCTCACCTTGCCGGACTCTGTGATCACCTCCCTACGGTTGTGGTTCTCCCCAAACAACATGCTCGGAACGAGAGGGCAGATCGCTTGAGCAGGGACTTTTCCTCGCAACACGAGTGGTCCCTCCACCCAGAAGTGGCCCACCAGCTCTTCCAAAGGTGGGGAACTCCCCGGGTGGACCTATTTGCGATTCAGCAGAAATGGCGATGCCCCCAGTTCTGCTCCGGGGGCGGGGCCTGGGGAGGAGCGCTATCTCCGATGCCTTTCTCCTGTCCTCTGAGGCCAGCTTCTCTATGCCTTTCTCCCATTCCCTCTAATCAGCAGGGTCCTGGAGAAGATAAAGACAGACAAGGCCCGGGTCCTCCTGATTGCACCGGCGTGGCCCAGGCAGCATTAGTACGGGACCCTCACGGGCCTGGCGGTAGCTCCGCCATGGCCGTTGCTGCTCTGCCTGGACCTGCTCTCTCAGGACCAGGGCCGCCACCTCCATTCCAACCTAGTGGCGCTTCATCTCGCGGCATGGCTGCTCAGTGGTTAGGTGGAGAGGAAAGCACATGCACAGAACAGGTCCAGCGCGTCCTCCTTGAAAGTAGATGGCCTTCCACTCGCCATACTTATTTAGCAAAGTGGTCCCAGCTTTCTAGGTGGGCGGTAGACCAGGGTGTGTTCCCGATGGCCGCCCCAATCCAGCTTATCCTTGATTACCTCTTCCACCTGAGGGCCCAGGGCCTGGCGCCCTCGTCCGTCAAGGTGCACCTGGCAGCCATGTCGGCCTTCCATCCGCCAGTGCAAGGGCACATGGTATTTTTCCCATGCTGTGACTGGCCGGTTCCTTGAGGGTTTGGACCATCTTTTTTCGTATTCTAGACCCCCTGTCCCGCTGTGGGACCTAAATCCGGTGTTGGCTCGTCTCACGGGGGCCCTGTTTGAACCACTGGCCACGTGCTCCTGGTCTCACCTCTCATGGAAGGTGGCCTTCCTGGTTGCAATCACTTTGGCCAGGCGAGTCTCGGAGCTCAGGATCCTGACCTCTGAGCCGTCGTATGTGGCCTTTCATAAGGACAAGGTCCAGCTCTGCCTGCACTCCGCATTCAAGGTGGTCTCTGCCTACCACATGGGTCAGGACATTTTTCTACCAGTCCTCTGCCCCAGGCCTCACACACCCAGTGAGGAGTGCCGTCTCCACATTCTCAGTGTGCAGCAGGCTCTGGCTTTCTACCTCGAGCAAACCAAGCCATTCAGAAAGTCCTCGCAACTGTTCATCGCCTCGGCTGAGCGCGCGAGGGGCCAGCAGCTTTCCAATTGGATCGCTTCGTGCATCTGCTCCTGTTATGAGCTGGTGGATGTCCCCCCGCCACCCATTGTGAGGGCACACTTGACTCGGGCGCAGGCGTCGTTGGCTGCCTGCGTCGTCGGCTGCCTTCGTGGCCCACGTCCCCATCCAGGACATTTGTACGGCCGCCACATGGTCTTTGATTCATACGTTCACCTCGCACTATGCGATCATCCCCCAAACCAGGGATGACACCGGGTTCGGCAGGGCTGTCCTCCTTCCTGGGAACTTGTGAACTCCTACCCACCTCCAACAGATATAGCTTGGAATCACCTATTGTGGAATACACATGAGCAATCACTTGAAGAAGAAAAGACTGTTACCTTTTCCGTAACTGGTGTTCTTCAAGATGTGTTGCTCTTGTCTATTCCACATCCCAGCCTCCTTCCCCTCTGTCAGAGTTGTCTGGCAAGAAGAAACTGAGGGTGGGGGAGCACACAGCTCCCCTTATACCGTGCCAGGCAGACACCACTCCAGGGGTCGCGGGGGGCACTCTCTCCCTCCCACGGGTACTGCTATGGAAAAAACTTCAGGCACCAGTGCACGTGGCAAGCACACACACCTATTGTGGAACAGACATGAGCAACACATCTCAAAGAACACCAGTTACAGAAAAAGTAATAGTCTTTCCTGATATGAAGGCCGTTTTCAGATGTCAGTGATATCAGATCTCCAAGTGCATGAGCTTTCAATCTAGTGACTTAATCCTTTTTTTTAAAAAAAAAATTGAAAAAATTGGGGTTAAAAAAACATCTTTGATTCTTTCAAAAAGGAAGAAAAAAATTCCCTCTTAACCTCCCCCTCTTTTTCCTCCCTCCCCCCCTCTGGGGAGACCCTCTTTTCTTTTTTTTTACAACCCCTTTTTAGACCTTATTCATAAATCCAGTTTCTTTTTTTGTTTTATTAAAATAGTGTGGTGTTGGGGGGGGTGGTGTGTTTTTTTTTTTTTTAGCCACTGTGTGGCGTAACAAATAAAGCCGCTCTGTCACAACTAGAAGGAGCTCTGGCACTGACAGAACATCAGTGTTGCTAACTGTCATGGTTGCAGGGCTGGGTGCCCCTCTCCCTTTTCTCAGCTGAGTGCACACCCTCAGGTGTCAGGCCTCTTGCCTTTACTTCTCTTGGGGTGGAATTTTTCAATTTTCCCATTCTTAGAGCAAGCCCTGGGATACAGCCCCATGGGCATCCACCAATAACCTACAGGTCTGACTGAGTTCAGACACCTGCAGTTCTTCCTTCAGGAGTCTGACCAGTTGTATACAGAGACCAGACAGACTTCTTAAAAATCCAAGTAGTGTTTAACGGTAGAAATAAACTATTCAGGGACGATTTGAAAACTGTCTACACGCATGTCCCCTGCCTCAAGGCTTGCAGTCCCCAGGTGGTACAGCAGGCAAATCTACCTTCTTCAGACAGCCCTGACTGAATAGCTGTCTTTGTCTGGTTTCCCCTGAAAAATGATCCCCTCTCTTGAGGGTCCCTTTTAAACCCTGCATAGTTCTTCTGTGTTCCTGGCCTTTGGCCCTTCCGTAGGCTCCCCAGGAATCAAGCCGGAGTCTGGAGATAATAGCTCTGCCACTGCTCCTTAGCAGCCCTGAGGTGTTTGCTGTAGCGTAGCTTATCTTGAGCTCTTTTTCCTTCCTGCTTATTTTTGCTGACAGTTCCCTATAGAGTTGCACGAATATAGTCACATGGTTAGCATGCACTATTCATACATTAGTGGTGCTCCGAATCAGTCACATCAGCTCTCCCAGTTGTATTGCAAGTCTGTGCTTCTCTTAAAGCCCCAGCCGCCAAAGTCATTTGATTAGGTGAGAATCTCAGCTTTCATTTTAAAAGTTAATTTATATCTTTAATGGTTGCAGAGGAGCTGGTAAACCTGACCTAAGGACTCAAAACCCAGCAGGCAGATAAAAAGAAGCCTCTATTTATTGGCTTAAAAATAAAAAAATATAATTTTAAAAAGAATCACATGTTTGAACATTTGGGGCTGGTGCTGCAGAAATACTGCTGTATGCCACTACTGTATTACTAACTGCAAATCTGTCCAAATCCTCCAATGGCCAAGTACTTTGCTTTCATCTGGGTAGGCCTTTGTTGGGGGAGTGCACAGTCACTCTGTTACTGGTATGCTTACAGCATAAACACAGACGAGTTAGATACAAAGGGGTTCTTGCTGGAAGGCTGCAGTATAGCACAATATTTTTCTTAGAATTCAGAACAGGAACACGTAAGAACCCAAAGCCAGAGCAACAAGGTGGGGTGCTCCTGAAAACAGACACAACTCACCTCCACTTAACTGTGAACTGTCTGTAGACTCACTGCTGCTGATCCTAGATTGTGCACTTCCCTATGGAGCCCCCCAGCCTGGCAGCAGGACCAAGGAAACCCCCCAGAAATTTCAAGTGATAGCTTAGTTTTAAGTTTTCCATACACTACTGTTATAATCACTTGGCCCATAGATCCCTAAGGAGGTGTTCCCATATCCTCAATAAATGGTACCAGTCTGGGCGCTCCCACCATGCGGCACATGAGCCATTCCTGCAGCTACTTCTATTTCTTTCAGATGAAGCCTCATCTCCCCTTTATTGGCATCCGTAATGGTTGTTTGAACAGGCCTCCCTCCCTGAACAGGGAGCCCACTTCACTTGCAGACTACCAGCTGCTCAGCATCCTAGAGCCCCACTGTGTCCCTGCTTTGCTGGGAGAAGCTGCTGCTTGCCTTGGTGTTGCCTGGTGTAGAAATGGGTTTGGCAAAAGGGGAGGCAACACAAGGGGAAGGGTGGCTGGAGGACAGGGTGTAGATGGTGTCAGGGAGCAGAGCAGGACTAGCTTCAAGCTGGACTAGCTTCTGCTTCCATCCAGCAGCACCATACAGTAGAACCTCAGGGTTACAAACACCAGAGTTACAAACTGACCAGTCAACCACACACCTCATTTCGAACAGGAAGTAGCAGAGACTGGGGGCGAAGCAAATCCAGTATAGTACTGTGTTAAATGTAAACTACTATAAAAAAGGGAAAGCAGCGGTTTTTTTCTGCATAGTAAAGTTTCAAAGCTGCATTAAGTCAATGTTCAGTTATAACTTTCCAAAGAACAACCATAATGTTTCGTTCAGAGTTACGAACGTTCGAGTTATCAGCAACTTGCATTCCTGAAGTGTTCGGAACATGGAGGTTCTACTATCTTTTCACTACAAACCCTGCTGTCTGCGAGAGTGCCCCCTATTGATTGCGTCCAAACTTTGGCAATGAGCCAGGTTGCACTAGCCAGTTCCCAAAGGGTGAAAGGAACAAGCCGGGACTAATGCTCAGACCTTTACTTGACCAGGTTTTCTTTCTGTGTAGGGCTCGAAGCGAATACTACGGTCTCATGAAATTGTGCTGCCACCAAGCGGACATGTGGAAACCGAACTTGCACTAACTTTTTCACTACAGGTAACATAGTAACAAAGTCCAAAGTGAATGTGCTCATCTGATTTTTTGCATTAAACCAAGTTCTGATGTATTTGTTTTAACAAGTCTTCATGTAAATGTTCCTCTGAAATAATTATAGGCAGTTCTGGCAATGGCACCTGTAGTCAACGCTTTTTCCTTATAAGCTAAAAAGCCATTTAGGTTGAAATTTTCCATGTGATGGAGTTTCTGCCTCAGGCTGAATATTTTGGGACATTTCAGCAGAAATGGTCTAGCCACTTCCAAGAGCAAGACTGGAGAAAAATAGCTGGTCTTGCCAATGTTAAATTCCTACAGCTGATTTGAGGAGCTCTAGCACCTCCATGCTTTGGAGCAAAGATTTGAAACTTGACAGGGCTAGCATTGGAGTGGGAGGTACAGTTTTCTGTTCCTGTGGAAATCAATTGGATATTGGCAAATTGTAAGCTTCTGAAAATGGTAGTTTCCATATCCTTAGTGGAGTTTGGGGCTGGGATCTAAAAATCTCTGAAAAGTGTCGGTACATGCTCAGTACGAACCCCCAGAATGCACAGAGTGTGTCCTGCTCAGCAGCAGCGTTCCCTCCAGCAGAAATGCAGAATGTCCTGCGCGGGGGTATATGACATTATCCTTCCCCGGCATGCAGTCTGTTACCTACCTTGGATCTCATGCATCCAGGAGTGCTGCAGGGCTGAAAAACTGCCCCTTCAATTGCTGCTCCTGGTTGCTGGGGCTGTTGCGGGCGCAGGTGCTAGGCAGAGCAGGAAGGCTTTTTTCTGTGCTTCCATTGCTCTCCTTGCTAGCATCCAGGTAACGTGGAGGGAGAAGGAAGAAGGGGCAGGCCTGGGGATGAGGGGGAGCAGGATTAGGAGTCGAGCAGTCTATGGGAGATGAATAGAATGAAGAAAGCCATTTAATGGGAGCAGCTGCCTCAGGCTGGCCTGCCCTTTTCTCTCCTCCATCTCCAAAATCCTCCAGCATTCTTCTCCGCAGTTGCTCCTGGGGTGGCTTTGGATTTCCCACTAGCTTTTTCAGGATCCCGCATCACCAACTTCTGCTAGGTGTGAGGGATGGGCTCCTTTCTCCTCTCACGCTCTTCCTACTGCTCTGGGGTACCCTTGTGGGAGAATAAGTGACTGCTCTTCAGTGACAAGGAATGCCACACATGGAACAGCAGCCTCCTGGCTGGGAGCTGGCAGGAGGCCATGAGGTCTAGTCCGGCTCTTCCACTGACTGCTGTTAATTCTAGGCACTCAATTGCCTTTACCACAAACCAGGCCTCCTACCTTAGACTAGTGTCATCCCCCACATTTTACAGAAGGGAGTAACTGGGAGGCTGCATAAAATCCCCTTCTGCTAGAGTCAGGAATGGAACCTGCTTTAAAACTGCTTTAGAACAGGAGGAAAACAAGAACCACAGGCGCACACAAAGAGTTCTCTGATTGTTAGTCACTTGGCAACTTCGGATTCTGCAAATGCTGTGCTTGCTTTTAAAAAATAAAGCTCTTGCCTTTTCCCTTTTATGGGAAACATTAGCTTGGCCACCTTTCCAGGGGTGGCACAGTGGGAGTTTCGCCTAAGGAGCACTAAAATAGGGCCCTCACCTAGCTCTGCCAGTGCACGATGCTATAAATTAATGGTAGATCAATATTAGGTCTTGCCTTTTTGCCGAGATTAGACAAATCAGGCTTCCTGGGGATATAGGGATGCAGGTCTCCTGCTCTAACCACTGGATGTGCTGCTCTGATCTTCCGCATGCAGAAAATGAGGATGGAGGCTTGTTTGCTATGGGTGAATTGCACTCTTAAGGGCTGAGAGTGGTCCTTGTGGTGAAGACAGCATGCCCTAAGCATAGCAAAGTACAGGCTAATGAGACTCAGAAATGTTGCTAATCTGGAATAGCCCCATTTGGGGAATGCTTAGAAGTTTTGTTTTTTTCAAATTTGCTGAACTGTTTGGCTAGAAAGAAATAAGGTCCCAGTACAGTGAGGTCTGGACAACAGATAGGATCTTTCATACTCCAAAAGCAGTTAAACCCTGTGCTACACATGGGTAATGAGAGCAGAGGGAATGGGGATAACTGTGATAGTGCTTTTGTCATCTGTTGCCTGAGAATCCTGGGAGCTGCCAAGCCGAACTGAGACATTGAGATAGGTGCTTACCTAGCCCTTCCCTGATACAGGCTGGGTTAAATGGAGCCTAGCTGCCAAACAAGTTTCTACTGCAGAGTGAGTAGAGGCAGCAAAGCTGTAGCTCAAGAATAAAATAACATGCAGCTCTGAGAATTTTTCTTCCAGGTGTTGGCTAACTTTAGATGCCCAGTCTTGCAGCAAACCAGATCTCCTGAGGTGATTAGGGGTGAAGTGAGACACTCTCCCTCACCCCATTCCACTAGGAGCAAATGCTTTTACCTCACATAGCTGGCTAAGCATATGGTTTTCTAGGACTTCCAGTTACCCAATAGCTGGAAGCAGGATTTGGCTTCTCTTCGGTCTGCATTAATACATGCACTCAGTTAAGAGAACTATAGCTACCGGGGAAATAGGCAGCGGTGAGCACACTCTAAATCTTCCACTTCCTCTGCACCTGAGGTTTCTCCTCTTTACTTCTCTGACTTGCAGCATGTATCTTTTGGACATCTCATGGATGCACTGAGTTTTAATTTACCCTTCTAGCTTAGAACACACCACCGTTTAAAATGTGGAGCTGTAACATGTAGAACACTGTCCTATGGTCCATCAGGGTCAATTTGCATTGATGTGTTTGGGAGTTCAGTCTGAGCAAGGACTGCAGAACTGTGCCCTAGACACTTAGACTCACTGTGTTTAAGGTCAGAAAGGACCATTGTGATCATCTAGTGATTCTAGTCTGACCTTCTGCATGTTGCAGGCCACAGAACCTCACCCACCCACTCCCGTAATAGACCCTTAACCTCTGGCTGAATTACTGAATCCTCAGATCATGGTTTAAGACTTGAAGTTACAGAGAATCCACCATTTACACTAATTTAAACCTGAAGTGACCCATGCTGCAGAGGAAGGCGAAAAAACCCCGGGATCTCTTCCAGTCTGACTCAGGGAAAATTCCTTCTTAACCCCAAATATGATCCTGAGCAGGTGGGAAAAAATTCTCTGTAACTCAGAGCCCTCCCCCTCTAGTGCCCTGTCTCTAGCAGTTGGGCATTTTGAGCTTTTATGAAATGAAACAGGAGAGGCAAGTGTGATGCAGTGAGAACTGGTCACTGAGACAAGGTGAGGTTCTCATAGATTACATGAAGGATTTGTGGTGTTCTGCACAGCAATGTGTGGGATGTCTTTCTGAAATGGCATAGTAGGATTTTAATGACGGGCACCGATTGTCTTTTAATTAGATGACAGCTTGAAGGTACTTTGTCTCTGAGCTAATAACCACAGCCTGGGCTAGATAAAGGCCGAAACCTAAGGCCATGATGTTTGAGAGACTTCCTAGGCTGAGGGTTGTTGGCCCAAATGCCATTACTGATCCTGGGAACACCTTAAGTTATGTAATGCTATCAGTCTCCTGACCTGTGCGCCTTGCCCAGCTCTTGTACCCTTCACTGTTCTGATTTGCTCCTGCTCTGAAACTCCCTAGAGCATAGAATTTAAACCAGGATTCCTTTGTCTCACCATTCCTCTGCTGTCAGCAAATGTGAGCGAAACCCGCTGGCAAAGTGTCCCATCCCCCTCTAGAGCTGATCCAGAGGATGGCAATTTATTACTGTTGGTCATTTGTTCAAACTGCAGAGGTCTGTTTGATGGATCTAAAATTCCAACCTACTGGTGACCCACGCTGATATCAATAGGATGCCACATGAGGGATCTTCCTTTTCCCAGTTTTGCTTTTTAAAGCGTAGGAAATTACACTTACACACAAACATGCTACATTAAAAAAACATTCAGGTTGCAAATTCAAGCTCTCAAAATTTAGGATATGCCTGAACTCAGGGGGACTGGTTTAGGGTTACACAGGCCCATCTATTATATATTTTTAGTCTCTTATTATTTTTCTGCAGCATCCCTGCTTCATTCAGTGCACAGGATGGATGGTGCTTTTGGGATGAATCGGGTGTGTAACGAAGGAGGCTGTTGTCTATAGGGCCTCTACCTCAGTTATTGCAGAAATTTGAAGGTGTGTGGTGAATGAGGCAGGGGCAGGAAAGCTGGGTTAGCACAGCTGAATGCTGCCCTGGAAAGTTGGATTCTATCCTTTCCTCTGCCACAGAGTTGCTGGGCAAGTTGTTTAAGACGTGATCTCTAATGATGTTCCTCATTTTCTTGGTGCCTCATTTGAACTCTGTGGTCTGATTTGCAGAAATGCTTTGAAGTGCAGAGTTGTGCTTTGAATGTATGAAGTATGTATGTATAATGCTAAGTGCTCTGAAAAATCAGGTCCTAGGGATCTCAAATTGGGCACCTAAAATTCGTGGATACTCTTGACCTTAGTTTCCTGGTGCCTCAGTTCCCCGTCTGTAAAATGGAGATAATAGCACTGTTTATTTCACAAAAGTATTGTGAAAATAAATTCATTATAGTATCTGAGTGTTTCACATACATTAGTGATGAGCACCATAGAAAAGCCCACAAGGCAATTAATAATTGTATTTTCAGAGTAGGGTTTGAATAGTGTGGCCCAGGGCTAATTTACTGCATGCATTGAGCAACAAGGGAAAAACATTGTGTGGCTGCTCATTCCGTGAGCACTGTCCATCCTGTGCACTGAATGTGTCACAGTAGAAAAATTTGCAAAAAGAAAAGGAGTACTTGTGACACCTTAGAGACTAACCAATTTACTTGAGCATAAGCTTTCGTGAGTTACAGCTCACTTAAAAATTATGTGATCATGTATTTAAAGACTGTATCATAATGCATATGCCCAGGCAGGTCAAATGCTTGACTTTGCAACCTGGCTGTTCTTGTAACATAGTTCTTTTGTGTGTACTATATCGTTATGTGAGAAGGTGCTTTCCCATGTGTATAGACTCCATTTTAAATGTTTATTGGTTCATAATAAAACTGGATCTTGAGTACTGATTGAAACACACAAACTCTCGGGGCCCAGCCTTTCTAGAACATGTGAATCACAAGGAGTTTTGCTGGGTATCCTGCCTCCCCTGGATCTCAGTGTCGGACACTTCAGAAAGGAAATTCCTATAGACGATACCTGGCCCTGAAGTGAAGGCCAAGAGTTCTCAGCAGGAACAGCCATGTAGTTACTAAAAACAAAACCCAAATGTTGGAAGCCCAGGGTATTAATCCTGACAGCACCTCAGTCACACTGTCTGGCCTTGCTGGTGATGACAGGACACAACTCTGACACCCTGAAGAACAAGCCAGACTCCGGCAGGCCTGTCAGCACCTGTGAGGTCAGGACTGGCTCTTGAGAGAGAACCATTTGGTGATTAGTAGGGCTGTCAAGTGATTAAAAAAATTAATCACAGTTAAACAATAACAGAAATCTAAAAATATTTAAATAAATGGCAATATCTACATTTTCAAATATATTGATTTCAATTACAACACAGAATACACAGTTGACAGTGCTCACTTTATATTATTTTTGATTACAAATATTTGCACTGTAAAAAACCAAAAGAAAATAGTATTTTTCAGTTCACCTAATACAAGTACTGTAGTGCAATGTCTTTATTATGAAAGTAGAACTTACAAATGTAAAATTATGTAGGAAAAAAACAGCATTCAAAAATAAAACAAACAATGTAAAACTTTAGAGCCTACAAGTCCACTCAGTCCTACTTCTTGGTCAGCCAATCGCTCAGACAGACACGTTTGTTTACTTTTGCAGGAGCTAATGCTGCTGGCTCCTTGTTTACAATGTCACCTGAAAGTGAGCACAGGCGTTCTCATGGCACTTTTGTAGCCAGTGTTGCAAGATATTGACATGCCAGATGCGCTAAAGATTCATATCTCCCTTCATGCTTCAACCACCATTCCAGAGGACATGGTCCCATGCTGATGACGGGTTCTGCTCAATAACAATCCAAAGCAGTACCACTGATACATGTTCATTTTCATCCTCTGAGTCAGATGTCACCAGCAGAAGGTTGATTTTCTTTTTTGGTGGTTTGGGTTCTGTAGTTTCTGCATCTCAGTATTGCTCTTTTAAGACTTCTGAAAGCATGCTCTGCACTTCGTCCCTCTCAGATTTTGGACGGCACTTCAGATTCTTAAACCTTGGGTCGAGTGCTGTAGCTATCTTTAGAAATCTCACATTGGTACCTTCTTTGCGTTTTGTGAAATCTGCAGTGAAAGTTGTAGTGTTCTTAAAACTGAGTGCTGGGTTATCATCCGAGACTGCCATAACATGAAATATATGGCAGGATACGGGTAAAATAGAGCAGGAGGCATACAATTCTCCTCCAAGGAGTTCAGTCACAAATTTAATTAACACATTTTTTTAACGAGCATCATGAGCATGGAAGCATGTCCTCTGGAATGGTGGCCAAAACATGAAGGGGCATACGAATGTTTAACATCTGGCAAGTAAATACCTTGCAATGGTAGCTTTAAAAAGTGCAATGCGAACACCTGTTCTCACTTTCAGTTGACGTAAATAAGAAGTGGGCAGCATTATCTCCTGTAAATGTAAACAAACTTGTTTGTCTTAGCGATTGGCTGAACAAGCAGTTGGATTGAGTGGACTTGTAGGCTCTAAAGCACGGGTGGGCAAACTACAGCCCACGGGCCACATCCGGATAGCCAGCCAATTTTATCCAGCCCTTGAGCTCCTGCTGGGACCAGGATCTGGGGCTTGCCCTGCTCTCGTGCTCCAGCCGGGGAGTGGGGTCGGGGGGCACTCTACATGGCTACCAGAAGCAGCAGCATGTCCCCCCTTTGGCTTCTACACAAAGGGGGAGCCAGGGGGCTCCGCATGCTGCCCCCACCCCAAGCGCTGCCCCCGCAGCTCCCATTAGCTGGGAACATCAGCCAATGGGAGCTGCAGGGGTGGTGCCTGCGGACAGGGCAGCATGCAGAGCCACCTGACTGCGCCGCTGCATAGGAATTGGAGTGGGGACATGCTACTGCTTCTGGGAGCTGCTTGAGGTAAGCGCCACCCAGAGCCTGCACCGCTGACCCCCTCCTGGGCCCCAGTCCCAGCCCTGATCCCCCTCCCGCCCTCTGAACCCCTCGATCCCAGCCTGGAGCACCCTCCTGCACCCCAAATCCCTGCCCCACCCCAGAGCCTGCACCCCCAGCTGGAGCCCTCACCCCCTCTCATGCCCCAGCCCAGATCTCCCTCCTGGCTTCTGAATCCCTCAATCCCAGTTCGGAACACCATCCTGCACCCCCAGCTGGAGCCCTCACCTCCTCCCCCATGCCATGCCCCAACCCCCTGCTCCACCTTCTGAACCCCTTGGTCCCAGCCTGGAGCACCCTCCTACCCCTCATCCCCACCCCAGAGCCCGCACCTCCAGCCGGAGTCCTCACCCCCCCTTCCCACATCCTAACCCTCTGCCCCAGTCTGGAGCCTCCTCCTGCACCTTTTAACTCCTCATTTCTGGCCCCACCCCAGAGCCCGCACCCCCAGCCAGGACCCTCACCCCCTCCGTAAACCCCAACCCCAATTTCGTGAGCATTCATGGTTCGCCATACAATTTCCATACTCAGTTGTGGCCCTCGGGACAAAAAGTTTGCCAACCCCAACTCTAAAGTTTCGGTTTTGAGTGCAGTTATGTAACAAAAAATCTACATTGGTAAGTTGCACTTCCACCATAAAGAGATTGCACTACAGTACTTGTATGAGATGAATTGAAAAATACTATTTCTCTTGTTTATCATTTTTACAGTGCAAATATTTGTAATAAAAATATAAAGTGAGCACTGTACACTTTGTATTCTGTGTTGTAATTGAAATCAATATATTTGAAAATGTAGAAAAACATCCAAAAATACTTAATAAATTTCAACTGGGATTCTGTTGTTCAACAGTGCAATTAAAACTGTGATTAATCTTTTTGAGTTTATTGCGTGAGTTAACTGTGATTATTCAACAGCCCTAGTGGTTACACAGATCTCTGCACTCTTGCAAATAGCTGTCAGCAAGACAGAGCACAGGGATTCAGTTTGTCTACTGAGAAATAACCATGAGGACATTGTGCGCACAAAACTCCTGCCATTCAGTAAGTTGCTTACATGAGAAATAAACATACAGTTGAGGATCAGGCTTCCCTGTGCTGTGATTGGCTGGGCCAGTTCCTTTCTTGTATAATGGACATAGGTCAATTGAGGTTTACGCGAACAGATTTCCCTTCCCAGCCACCCAAACAAGCTCATGTTCTGTTAAAGACCCATTGAAAGCACTTCTGCAGAGCTGTGTTTGTAAGATGAGTAATTATTTTGGATTCTTCAGTGTTGTGAGGGCAGAACCAACAGAGTGGTGAAAAGAGAATGTTTGGCTGTAAAAACTGGCCAAGAGTGTTCAGTCAGAAGTACCTAAAGCTTGGCCTTCCTGGGAACCAGTGCAGAGTACTAGAACAAAAGATTAGATGAACTGTAAACATCTTTAAAAGCACTGGGACTGGGCGAGGTATTTAACTTTAAGGAGCAAAAGTGTGTGTCAGCTGTAAACGGGGTAGCTGGGAGCTAGTGGCAAGAAGTGTAACATTTTTTCAAATTGTATTCTGACTTCAGTATCCTCACTTCTTGAAAAGAGAAGGCAACAAGCTTCAGATCATGCTGCAAAGGAGGAAGCGATACAAAAACCGAACGATTCTGGGCTACAAGACTTTGGCAGTGGGCTCCATCAACATGGCCGAGGTAGATGTTCATCAACACAACTCAAAGCGTTCGGATGGAGTCAGCCAGCATATGCCTTCTATCCTCAGTTTAAATCTAAGGCTACCATTCTTTTCTGAGAAAAGTACCTAGATGGCTTTCATATGTGTCTCACTTTTCAAGTGTACCAAGGTTTATAGGGCAAGAGTGTTAATGGAAATAATATAAAATAATAAATGCTATGTATTTTCTATAAAATGTAAGCAGGAAAACCAAGGGCTGGCCTATTTCTCTTATGGTTTTTAAGGTTCAGGCTCAGTTTCAAGTACTTTGCCCAAATATGCTATCGCTCCCCTTGTCTTTAAAACATGCTTCGGCATGAGAGAGTTTAAGCACTTCTAATAAATATTCTTAAAAAATAATGCACAAGAACAGTCAACCAAAGATGCAGTAAATTTAGTTCAATTGAGCTAACATCTGTCTGTTTCTTGAATTCTTGAACATAAATAGCACATTTTTCTCTTACTCCATCCAAATACATTAAGGTTGCAAAGTCAAGCATTTCAAAGTTAGGAAATGCTGAAATCAAAGTAGCCTATGCAATCTTAATTCTGCCCCTTTCTGCATGTGCATGATGATAGTTCACCATGATTGTATAATTTCCACCATTTTCAGTTGGGCTGTTCAGGCATTGAAATCTTGAGTTTTACTTTTCATGGTCATTCTTGTTAATACAACTTGATTTCTTGTATATTCATGGAAAGCAGATGACCAAAGGAAGCTGACTTTCAACTTTGAATCAGCAGTTGTGGGAGATGCTTATGGTATCCACTGAACTTCAGTTAGCTTCACACTAATTCTTTTATTCCCTAATCTACGCAGCTGTGTACTTGTGAATATTAAAAATATAGTGTTAGAAGCATTGTGTAGCAGAAACCTGCCATACTACACTTAGCATAGAAATCTTCCAGAAAATATCATTCCATAAATTTAGTTCCATCAGTGGAGAATTTATTACAAAATGAAATGGTTTAACACTGCAATTGTGCTAGGTTGTTGTGATATTAGATAATTGATTGATTTTATCTACAAATTATTTATTTTGTGCAAACTGAGCTTTTAAACGGAAATACTTTTTCATTTCTGCATTTGAGTTTCAGTTAAATCCTAATTTTTTACCTTTTTGTCTTTGTCTTGTATCATGTTTGGTTCATTGTTAATAATTGGAAATTAAACACTAAAAAATATGAGCATCACTCAAGTAAGCTCACCAGGATATCTCTTTAAAATGTTAAGCATTCACTGTTGAAATATAATACTTTTTCTTACTGTTTTGTCACTTCTGACAGCAGAGGATATGAAAATGCTAAATATCTATGAAGTATTTGCAATGTGTTTGAATCTAAAAGAGGATGTCAGCTGGAATTTTTTTGAAATTCACTAACTTAAAAAACATCTAGTTTCTGATAGAGCACCCTATAAATAGTACGTCCTGGAATTTTTAGTTCCTTAATTTTTACAAGAGTTTTTCTTCTCCCCGCTGATGTCAGATGCAAAACTGAACAGATAGGTTAAGGGTAGGAGGGGTAGACTGGTGGGTCACCAACACAAAGGTGGCCAATTGAAGCTTTGAGTGGATGAGGTCACCCAGGGGGAAAGTGGAGAATAGGAGGGGGCCAGATATAGAGTCCTGCGGAACACTGATAAAGACCAGGAGGGGAGGTGCGACTGAAAGGGCATTTGGATGGGTGGGAAGAGCACAAGAGGGACAGTCTTGGAAGCCTAGAAGAGAAACTATAGGAGGAAGGTATGATCATCATCATGTTGAAGGTGGCAAAGAATGGAGAAGCAAATTTCATTTTTTATAGAACCACAAAGATGTCCCTTTGTCTGTGCTTTCACCAGTTCTCATTGTCACATCTAGGTTGCCAGCTGTTTGGGGCAGGGACTTGCTTTTTTCACTTTGTTCTGTAAAGCACCTAACATGCTTGTCCAGGGAAAGGTCACTGCGGATGGTTTCTGCAGCTGGCTTTAAAGTAGATTTGGAGGTTGTTTTGTTTGGGAATTCATGAGAGCTGGGTAACTTAATGATCACTAAAATTAGTACCCAGGCAAGCTAACAGAATAATAATGAGGGTAATCCAATAACATGCTTCAGTGTGATCTGATCATGTGTCAAACTGAAATCTTCTGTCCCTGCCACTTCCTTGAGTTGATAGCCAAGTAAATTCTGAAATAGCATTAAATAGTGTCTATAACTGGTGGTTCTTCTAGACCCAGGCATTTGAGCCTTCTTGCATACCCAGAGTAACTCATTAAAGAACTCTTCCAATATTAGTGGATGGGAATCAGGCCCACAACATTTAAATATAAGACTGTTACTTCCCCAATCCCAGGTGATGCAGCACCCGACTGAAGGAGGCCAGGTTCTGAGCCTTTTCAGTAACATCAAGGAAGCCACAGCCAAAGTAGCAGAGATCTGGATCTTCTCACTGTCTAGTCAGCCAATAGACCATGAAGACAGCACCATGCAGCCTAGCCAGAAGATCAAGTCCACAGGTAAAGATATGCCCTCTATTGAACTTCAGCCCATCTGTTTCCTCTCCCGTTTCTTCCCTTCCTTTTTCCCGAAAGCCCACCTGGTTGGAAGCTGCCTCAACTTACATTTTTGTGATATAAATACAACAGAGAAAAACTAAACAAACTGGCCTTGTCTCTGCCACCACCTTGCTCCCTTCCCCACCATGTCAAATCCCCTTCTCCATCCCTCCGCCTGGTCTCTTCAGATAGCATGAGCTTTCAGGCATGGACTGCCTTATGTCTGTAAAGTGCCTGTCCCAGTGGGGCCCTCGTCCTGCATGGGACCTTCAAACATCACAAATAACGTGCCACTTCCTGCATTTTGCTGATAACCAAAAGCTTCAAGGAGGGTAGGGCTAGGAAAGAGAAGTAGTAAATATCATTTAAAAAAAACAAAACTACAATGTGGTCTAGGTTGGGAGGGGTGAAGAGGAACCAAAACAGAGCACTGCAAATAACCATGGAAATCAGCTTTGTTCTTCTCCCTCTTCCATATTCTCTGTGAAGTCAAATCCTCTCTGACCTAGGGCTTGTCTACTGAAGATGAAGCTAAACCACAAAAAGGCACTCTCAGTAAAGAATGGTTTCAGAGTAGCAGCCGTGTTAGTCTGTATCTGCAAAAAGAAAAACTTGAGTTTATGCTCAAATAAATTTTAGTCTCTAAGGTGCCACAAGTCCTCCTTTTCTTTTTTCAGTAAAGAATGAGTGTGTCCATGTGGGGAGCTAGCCTGGAATAGCTACAGTGGACTAGTTACCATGTAGACAAACCCCTAAGCTTCTGAGATCCTGTGCTCCATTGGTTCTTGATAAATTCTCATCTGGCACGAGTTCAGATTTCCTTACCTCTTTACTATGTGTCACAGGGTGACTGGTCTCTGCAGATAGACTGAGCCCAGCTTCCCTAGATGGGAGCAGGTGAGTCTCATCCAGCTAATTAAAGGGGGCTGCGCAACACCTGGGCCTATAAAGGGCAGCTGGTAGGCAGCTGGGGAGGAAGGATGGAGACAGGCTGAGATGTGGTCAGATGAGGCCACACTGGAGTGGAGCTAACTGCTGTGGTGGGTCCCTGGAGCAAGGGGGCCAGGGGCTCCAGGAAGAGAGGGGAGCAGACCTGGACAAGGCAAGGAAGCTGCCAGGAGCTGGAGTGCCAGAGACCCCTGGGAGGAGTGGCCCTGAAGCTTGGGGGCCAGGTATTGACTTAAGACTGTCTTCTGTTTAACCTTTGTTATAAAACGTTATAAAAGAATAACCCTCAGCTGAGAGTGGGTGTGGCAGCATATGTTCGAAGATGGGGGTATAGCAGCGGCACCCAGTGACACCATGACAATAGCATGTAATTATTTGACATTTGGGAATGGATTGTGGGATGGGGGTGGGGGATGAGGGTTTGTAGCTGATGGTATACAGTCCTCACTCTGAAGGTTAATGTTTAATGGTAGAATTGCAGGCAAACGGAGTTAATTTCTAGGACGAATCAGTACCAGTTCTTAACAGTGCTATAACTATACTGTAATATGAAAGAGGTTCTTGAGATGTATGTAAGGAGAAGCAGAATTGGGGCCCATGGTGTTCATTCCCTTCTGTGTTGCATCATACACAAGCACCATCATAAGGGAGCCATAGGAACCCCATTTTGCAGTTGTTTTTCTAGGGCTCCATTTCTTCACACTCTCAGCATTAAACGAAGAGCTCACTACAACACCTAAACAGAATATAGATTGGTTCCAGTTCCTGGTCTCGCTTAACATTGCTGTTTGGAACACATGTTGTCATGAGCACTTGGCACGTTCACCATACACTTGTTTATACCAAATACTGTAACAAAAAATAATAATCTAAAGAAACTCTCTGCAGGGTCAAACCGAAGTACAAATGGGAAGCACAACACCAAAAGTTAAATGAAATAGTATGTGTATGCATCAATAGACCACAAACCTGACTCCTTACTGACATGGGGGGGACAGAGGACACTCTCAAGGACACTTGAGAGCTGAAGGACACTCCAAGGAAGTAGAGACGTGTTTGGAGCTGGTGATATTTTGAACTGTTGCTTTGCTGTTAGACACTTAGGTAATATGGGGCAATGTGGATTGAAAATTTCATTAGTAAGTTAGATAGAAATGTTTATCTCCTTGTCCTGTTTTTGATTGGTGACTGTTGTATCAACCGGCTGTTACAAAAACCAAGATGAGAAGTTCTTCCATAGAGAGCTTCTACTGCATGATCTCTGGAGGCTAGACTCTACTGTTACTCTGGTTTACCTCACATGACTAAATCTTGCACACTTCTAGAGAGTAAGTTCATGGGTTGTTTTAAAAAAAAAAAAAAAGTGATATCACTAAGAAGTGACAGGTTTGTAACATGTTAGTGCTTGTTCTAAATCAACTACATCTTGCTGTGGAGTCACCAGGTTCTAGGGTTGGGCTAGCCCAGTGGCTCTCAACCTTTCCAGATTACTGTACTCCTTTCAGGAGTCTGATTTGTCTTGTGTACCCCCAAGTTTCACCTCACTTAAAAAATCAGACATAAAAATACAGAATAGTCAGAGCATACTATTACTAAAACATTGCTGACTCTCATTTTTATCATATAATTATAAAATAAATCAATTGGAATATAAATATTGTACTTACGTTTCAGTATCTAGCATACAGAGCAGTATAAACAAATCATCATCCATGAAATTTTAGTTTGTACTGACTTCGCTAGGGCTTTTTATGTCGCCTGTTGTAAAACTAGGCAAATATCTAGATGAGTTGATGTACCCCTTGGAAGACCTCTGAGTACCCCCAGCGGTATACATACCCCTGGTTGAGAACCACTGGGCTAGCCAACCCAACCACATAAGCTACTCTTCCAAAACGCACTCACGGTAACAGTCTAAAGTAAATGACATTATTAACTTCAATTATCTGAGCACAAATATGTGATTTTTATACAGTGTGCATAAAAGATCTTGGTTTCCATGCTTGGAGGCCTTCCCTTTACATGGCTTCTGTTCTCTGTACCTGCACTGTGACAGGATAATGGATTAATTCTGAATTCAGATAGGAAGTCCATGTTGCAAGATACATGGGCATGCACCACACAGTGTACGAGATGCCTAGTTGGAGTCCAGAATAGAGTGAGACAATTTACTTGGTGTATCATTTCAGTAAAGAACAGGATCTTTTTTTCCCTCACCAGATTTGGTCCTGCATACCAGTTGTGCCTGGTTAGGGGAACAAATCCTGGGGAAGTGTGTAGCTTGGGTTGCCCCATGGGTAGAGGCTAAGTGATGCCCATTCCATCTTGGACTATATGCCAGTGGTCCCTACTTATTTCCTAAAGGGGTGGACATGCCAGACTGGCTCCCTGTGGGGGGAAGGACTCACCTGCATGCCAACCTTCTCTACTTTGCGGTCAAATTTCCTGTCTGCTAGCTGAGTATTTCTCATCTTCCCTTTCTCTGTGGGAAGTTCTCATCCTACCTGTCTAGTGCAGCTAAAAGATACACCCTTAGTCTTCTCTCCAAATGTTCATATTCCTTGATTCTAGGAATGTTAGCCAGTGTGAATTTTTTGAAGTTTGCTCTCCTGAGCATCAAGGCTTCCCCTTCTTTCCAAAGGGAGTCTTACAAGACTTTATGTGCTTTCCTTACCTTACAGATAACTATTCTGAAGAAGAGTATGAGAGCTTTTCTTCTGAGCAGGAAGCCAGTGATGATGCTGTCCAGGGACAGGTACTGTATGTGAAGCTGCTGTTCAGTGCTCTACAAAGGATTTCTTCCCCAGAAGCGCATAAACTGATAATAATCACTCTTTGCTTAACTTTTAACAAGATGGATATATGGCTAAATAGTCCAGTGTACAAGCAATGCCTACCACTTCCTCATTGGGGGGTGGGGGTGGGGGGTGAGAGGGGATCCAGGCCTGCACACTACTCTGGGTCCTGACCCAGGGATTCTTTAAACACAAGCCATATGTTGCTTCCCTTTAGTAGTTGCTGCTTCTCCCTTGGTCTCATCACCTGATGGAGTTTTCTCTGTTCCCTGCTTGAGCAGGGTCTTGCAGGCCACCTCACCCGGAGAGTTCCTCTGTCTTCCAGCCCTTCCTCACCCCTCAGGTCCCAGCCAGGAACTGATGAGCTCATCTCCTGCAGCTCCTTTTAACTGAGCCTGCGGTGCTCTGATTGGCTCCCTCCCTGCAGCCTTTCTAGGCAGGCCTGGGGGACCCACCTTCGCCGTTCCTTTTCTGGGGCAGGGTGTGGTAGGACCGTGGAAAGCCCCAGCCTGAGGCCTCGAAAAACCTGTACAGCTTGTCACAGGGCCCTAGAGCCTAGAATTAACATGGTCAATAACTTTTAAATCTGTACTGCAGTGGGTAGTTGTATGTGGTGAGAGATTATTTTTTTCCCCAGTGTTTTCCCCTTCCTTTGAACTCTGTGCAATTTGGACATCCATGGATAGAAAGATAGTCACAACCGAGATCTCTGCTTCTTAAGCAGCCTCAGCCTCTGATGGGTCCAACTGTGGCAAGAAAGATGGTGGAACTCTGCCACACTCCACCAATGTGAATCACTGTAATGAGACACTGCTCATGATAGGTCGTGCAGATATTCAAAATGGAACTGTGCAGCTCTGGGCTGAGCTCTGGCTCCAACCTTGGCTCTGCATCTTCTCAGTGTGTGGAAGGTGAATTGATGGTGTCTCCTGAACACCATCAATTTGTGGCACCAAAATGGGGGGATCACTCTCTGTAAATGGACCGGTCTGTGGCCTTCCCTCTCCTTTCCTTACATGAGTGCCGAAATCATTGTGTTGACTTTTAAATGATGAATTACCAATAGGCCTCTGAGTTATTGTCTCGCTGGCACAATGAGGCACTTGACACCTCTTCAGGGTATTCTGGGCTGTCTGCTGACTCCTCTTGGCACTGGGTATTCTGCTTACGTTTTGGGGTCTTTGCACCATTGCAGCTAGAGACTGATGTAAGGGAAAGCTGAGATTCCAGTGAACAGGATAGTGGCTTCAGAGAGGTGCTGGTATTTGTGTGTTGACGTGTCTGAGCCCTGGCTGCTCAGCAACATGCTGCACCCCTAGGGTTTAGTTCTGCCTGCCTTTTCAGCACTCCCTTCTCTATGCAAGATCAGTAAAATCCTTAGCTGGTCTTTACTCAGGGTTAAGTCTCTGCCTCCCCAGTACTTAAAACCTTGCTGAAGGGAGCTACAGGTGAAGACTGAGGGCATGTCTACACTACAAGCTTAACTCGACCTATGTTAGATCCACTTACAGCCCCCTCAGAAGTTACTGCAGTTTGTCATGTCCCCACTGCCCTTCTGTTGGTAGTGTGCATCCTCATCAGGAATGCTTCCACTGACTTGAGAGGCAGTGGAGGGTGCTGCAGCTGCTGCTGCCCCCTCTCCTCCCAGGCTCCCAACAGGGGGCCGGGAGCCTAGAGGTTGGTTCAGAGTGGGGAGCCTGAGCATCAGCTGGGCTCTAGCTGGTGCCTCCCACCTATGCTGGGATGACAGCCAGGCATGGGGTTCGCAGCATGGAGCCTTCTTCCAGCCTTTGTCAATTTCAGCATGTCAGCATGGAGCTGTAAAATTGACAAGAATGACAACCGACAGCTCATGTAAGCTAAGCAAGGTCTATACAGAAACTGCATCACCCTAACTACACTGATATAAGCCCTATGCCTATTGTGGAGGTGAAGTTATGATGTCGATGTAGTAGGGCGCTTACATCAGCGGGAGAACGTAACAGAAGAATGGCCATACTGGTTCAGACCAAAGGTCCATCCAGCCCAGTATCCTGTCTACCAACACTGACCAATGCCAGGTGCCCCAGATGGAGTGAACCTAACAAGTAATGATCTAGTGATCTCTCACCTGCCATCCATCTCCATCCTCTGACAAACAGAGGCTAGGGACACCATTCCTTACCCATCCTGGCTAATAGCCATTAATGGACTTAACCTCCATGAATTTATCCAGTTCTCTTTTAAACCCTGTTATAGTCCTAGCCTTCACAACCTCCTCAGGCAGGGAGTTCTGTAGGTTGACTGTGTGCTGAGTGAAGAAGAACAAGGGAGCAAGGCTGTAGTGCAGACACTGACATAATTAGGTCGACCTAACTCTGTAGTGTAGACCAGGCCTTAACCAGTTTCTCCTGTGCACCTGTATAATAGTAATCACTCCCTGACACGTTTTGTTGCACAAACGAAACATTTCGCATCATAATAATAAAACAGCCCTTGCTTGTTCTTGAGGCAAGTGTAAAACCTAACGACTCTTTCTGTGCAGGATTTGGACGATGATGAATATGAGCTGGGCAAGCCAAAGAAGCAGCGGAGATCGATAGTAAGAACGACGTCCATAACCAGGGTCGGTGGAAATTAGTTTTACTAACACTGAATGGGTTTGGCCAGGATGTGCATGCAGCCCAAGAGATTTACAGAGCTATTTACACAATGGTCCCAATGGCGAAATCAGAGATAATCACAGGAGGTGGGAAAGTCCAGAACTAAAATCTAGCCAAGTGATCAAAGTACCAATCAAACCACAGCAGATACTGACAGCCTTATCTGTGAGTACCATCTTGTATCACTTGTTACCTGTAAGATGAGAGGACCCCCATGAAAATCATTTAAGGGTGAAATTGACCTAGTGCAGAGGCTAACACAAGATCCATGCATATGTAAGCCTCCGAGTAGGCTTGAAGTAGGGCATAGGCCTTTTGCTGGCCCTCTACATGAGAGTGAATTCAGCCCAGATAAGAATTCCAAAATAAAATAATGGAGATGAGGTATGAAATAATAAAGTGGGTTAATGCAAGATGGCATGTGTGTAGTTCAGGCTGTAGGACTTGTCAGATACTATTGTCTGGTAAATGATATGCAGTTACATACTGTGTCATAATATATGCAGCATGGGGCCAGAGTTAAATTTTAGCATAAAACCTTAACTTGCCTTTGAGTGCTGCAACCTTGATGATTTAGTTTTTTTATATACAGTATTTGTGCCATATACAAGATTACCATAACTCTAGGTACTGAGATAAATACCTTTATTGCAGCAACCATGGAATAAGCAGGATTTACTTTGGACCTTAGAGTAGATCTGAAGGGCAGTCTACACACTTATCTACCTCCACTAGTACTATTTCTGACATCAAACATCTGAGAGAGTTCTGAATAGGCCACATTTTTTTCAAATAAAAGGAATCTGCCACCAAAAGAAGTTTCTTCTTCCCCTAAATGAGGATCACAAAAAATCATCAGATACTGATTTACTAGCTGTTCAGGCCTGGATCAGTGACAGTTTTAGGATCTTTTTAAATATCTTGTGACAGAATTATGCATCTTGACCAGTAAGTAATGCAGCTTTCTCATGACATAAATCATTTGTTTCTAGTCCTGGCATTTAATCAGATACTGGATCTGAAAACTGCAATCCCATAACTGAATAAAAAAATCATAAAAGCTGCATTTTCTAAACTAATATTTCTGTTAACTTTTTTTCACAGGGGAAGAGGCTCATATGCTAACTAATAAGGCAGCCTGGCCTTAGAGGCAGACCGATTCTTAAAAAGAATAAATACTTATGAGAGAACTTTCTAAATAGACTTTGTCTAGACTCTTTTGGTGCTTGCAGAATATGGCGGTGGGAGGGGAGAAGGACGCATCGTGGAAAGCTGAGTTTGAGATGGCCTGTGTAACTCCAGATGACACAGCCCCTTGACAAAGATGGTCATCCATCCCCAGACTTATGTCAGTGAACAATTTATACCACAATTTGTGCCATTCTATCATTATACCCCACACAGCGCATATTTATGAAAACAGTTACAGCCTGCATTTCACAAACCAGGGTATAAATTCACTTGCTGAAGGGGAACTGGGTATCTAGTGGCTTTGTTATGGTCATCCTAAACTCCTAACTAAAAACTGTACCTAATAGTATCCACATCATGGTGTATGTAGATAATGCCAAGAACTTATTGGTAGGGCCCTACCAAATTCACAGCCATGAAAAACCCATCACAGACCATGAAATCTCGTCTCGTGTGCTTTTACCCTGTACGATACAGATTTCACGGGGGAGACCAGTGTTTCTCAAATTGGGGGTCCTGAAGGGGCCCTGAAGGGAGTTGCGGGGGAGGGGCGTTATTGCCACTCTTACTTCTGCGCTGCCTTCAGAACTGAGCAGCCAGAGAGTGGCGGCTGTTAGCTGGACGCCCGGCTCTGAAGGTAGTGCCCGCCCAGCAGCAGCACAGAAGTAAGGGTGGCAATGCAATATCGTACCATGCCACCCTCACTTCTGCACTGCTGCCTTCAGAGCTGGGCGGCCGGAGAGTGGCGGCTGCTGACTGAGGGCCCAGCTCTGCAGGGAGCAGCGCAGAAGTCAGGGTGGCAATACCACACCAGGCCATCCTTCTGAGCTGCTTCTGGTGGCGGCTCTGCCTTCAGAGCTCAGTAGTACCGCAACTTTTCTCTTTCTCCCCACCCCCGGCACCCCCCCCCCCACACACACACACACTAACCTGGCCACCTTCCCACAACTCCTTTTTGGGTCAAGACTCCTATAATTACAACACGGTTCAATTTCAGATTTAAATAGCTGAAATCATGAAATGTACGATTTCTAAAATCCTATGACCATGAAATTGACCAAAATGGACTGTAAATTTGGTAGGGCCCTACTTATAGGCAAAGATTTTCAAAAATCTCCTGAGGTCATATTTAGGCATGTTTAATTTTTTTCAGAAGGTTGGTAGGAGCTGCTGGGTGCTCAGCACTTCTGAGAATCAGGCAGGTGCTTAAATATAGAATTAAAAGCCCAACTTCAGGCTCCTCTTTTTGAATCTCTTGGCTGGACTCTGTATGAACACAGACACTAGAAGTTGCAGTGAGGGAAATAGCCAGCAAAATGAGGAACTAGCCTTCACTAAGGGTGGGCCCATTGACATTGCTTTCCTCCATTCAGAATAGCTGCCACTCTTACATACCCATTCAGCTAGCTCATGCCAGTTCTCTCAGGAGGTCTAGTGAAAACATGTATGGGCCAGAGTTTTGCAAAACTTGTTTGCTAAAGCCAAATGTCCCAGGATTGTTTAACTCTCTGCAGATGTTAAGATTAGTTTCATTCTGCTGCAGGCTGGGGGTTTATGGGTTTTGCAAGAAATTAGGCAAAACCCAGTGCTTTGGGTTGTATTATTTTGAGTGAAGCTCTACATTCAGAGCTCAGGAGGCGCAGATTCTGGCAAGCCAAAAGGCTTGTCAAACACTAGGACCCAACACCCCCCATTCCCCCCAAGTCGTTAAAGCTCCACTGTTAGGGTAAAATACTCTGCCAAGATGATCTGCAGATCTTTGCTATGGAACCAACTTTCCAGTCACCCACATGGGGGAAACTGGGACACCCCCATCAGCTGTAAGAGTTTGTGTGAAAACTCCCTGCTCCCTTGTGGAAAAGGGTCAGTTGTATCTCTGAAGGCAGGTGGAACTTCTGCATTAAGGAAGCAGAAAAACAGCCTGAAGCACTCACTATATTCATCAGCTTGTGACTAACTGGCAGGCTAAAAATGTTGTCTTTCCACTAGATACATAAATACATGGCTAGCTGAGTGCAATGGTTAATGTATGTTGGGGGCCCATAGAGATGTAATAAGGCTAAACCAGTCAGGGCTGGAACTGAGTTGTTGTGAATATGAATAGTATAGCATGTAGCATGGGGAATTCTGCTCTTCTTGGGGAATGGCACATAGGTAGGCGGAAGGGCAGGGGTGCTCCTTGATTTGTAGCTCAGCCCCATACATGGTTCTACCTAGGAGCAGTCAGTGTCTCCATTTTTAGCTGTGGTGGCGCGCCTCTGCATTCCCTCTTGCCGTATTTATGTAAAAGTGTTCTTGACTTACAGCAACAAAACTTCAAGCAGAAAGTGGTGGCGTTGCTGAGAAGGTTTAAAGTCTCTGATGAGGTAAGTTAGTTAACACTCACTTATACCTCAGACATGCTGCTTCATGAGTTCAGCTTATTTTCAGGCTGTTTCTCCTCCTTTCTCTCTTTTGCTTTCCTTCCTTTCTTCTCACATCTGTACTGGGAATTGTCCCGAGTTCCCCAGTCACTTTGCCCAACATTCTGAAGCTTTGTTTGGACCTCAGTTGAACAGGGCCAGTTCAGTACTAAGTTCAAAAAGCCATCAAGATTTTCTGGATGCAGTTTTGTCAAAGATTTAAAAGACACTTGTACACCCACTTGCTTACAGACTGGTTTGTAATCATACCTGACCCTTTCAAGGACTAGTAGTCTGGTGTTTGTTGCCCATTAAGTTAGATCGCAGTTTATTTTCTTATTGCCCTTATTATAAAAGCTTAGCAAAATATTCTGAGGAAACAAAAAAATCCCCAAGACAGTAAACCATCCAGTGAAAGCTGAAAAAAGACGACAGAGACATAAAAGAAAATGTAAGCAAACTTTTAAAAAGCATCCGATGCAAGTGCAGCCCGACAGTTCACACAATTTGAACTGCCCCATCCATATGAAACACACCAAACACAACCACCGTGTCCCCGTAGAGGTAAATAAATGGTCCCACGGGAAAGTAACTAGCCAGATGATTCAGCTGAAAGCAACTCATTCCACCTTGGTACTTTATTCTTCCAAACATAGCTGCTAAGGGAAAATAAGGCACTTGACCCCTCTGGTGCCCCAAGCTGTTGGGTTCCCCATATCTCATGGCACCAAGTAAACATCCTTGTCAAAATCACTGTTTCCTTGCTATCCAGTCCTTAAGTAATCCTTCCGTCTGTAAAGTACTGTTCCATAGACTCTCACTCCAGCCATGTTGGCCTTCATACAGAACCCGTGCTATGTAGGAGGCCCCCTGTTTGTGGCAGGTGCAATACCTGCAAAATAGACTGTTCTTCCATGGATGGAACGCCCTAAATTTACCCTCCCCTCCCCCCCCACCTTTCATTCCTGTTCCTACTAAGGAAAAACAACTCTGCAGGAATAGTATTGTAGCTGAGATCTGGGCTAGCTGCACTGCAGCTGTTCAGGAGAGAGCACCCTCTTGTGCTGGCTTTAGGATTGGCACCAGACTGCACCCATCTCAAGATCCTACTCTAACTGTAGATGTTTTGTTCCTGTCAGCTTCTCACATGTGAGGAAGCTGATGGAAGCTTTGGTTTATGGACTTTCTACTAGATTTTTGTTAACCTTCAGTTTGCTAATGAGGGAAATCCCATCTGGATATAATCTTTTATTCCTTTAATTGCTTGCAAATAATATATTGAAATAAGTCAGAAGGAGCTGGAGAGTCCATTCAAGGTTAGGTGACCTGGATAGAATACAGGGTGGAATATTATGTACTTTTTATACTGTTGGTAGAATATTTATAATGGGCTCACACTCTAAAGTTACATTTATAAAAGGGCTGTTAAATGATCAGTAAATATTTTAATAACTAGTTAAAGATTCTTAGTCTGACAGGTGAATAGGTTGCTTATAACATCTATAACCACTTTTACTGATATGCTTATAAATCATCTATAATACACAGAGCTCATGTCTGTAACAGGCTTAAACATCTATGAACCCTTTAAAACCTATAAATGGAACTTGCATACAGAGTGACTCACAGTGACGTATTCTGAGATTGGCCTGAAATTTGGGGGCCAACAGAAATACCAGCCTATTGTACAGCAGTCGCTGTGTGTGCTGAAATGACTTGGGATGGATCTGTCCCCTAATCATTTCTGCGCTGCCTGGTTGTATCCACGTGTCTTGTGCTTAGGTTCTGGATTCAGAGCAGGACCCAGCAGAGCATGTGCCGGAAGTGGAGGAAGACTTGGATCTTCTGTATGATACACTGGATATAGACAACCCCAGTGACAGTGGCCCTGAAATGGAAGATGACGACAGTGTCCTCAGCACTCCTAAACCAAAGTTAAAGTAAGGGAATTTGGCTCTGGTGTCGGTATGGGCTTGAAGAAGCCATAGGTAAAATTAATTGGTTGAGAAACAAAACAATGCTTGGCTGCTAAAGTGCTCTACAGCCTCCATTTCCAGCTAAGAGTTTGGATATATTTTTTTTGGAAGTGGGGGGGAATTGAAAATGAATCCCCTCTTACACCATTTATAATTACGTGTTACATTCATTCCATTCCTACTTTCCTTTTCTCCTTGACCTGGCAATGGGTCACGGTATGTATTTTAACCACAGCATGAAAGATTTGCACATGCTGGGCAAGAGTTTACATCTTATCCCGTTAGCCCTGCTCTCATCACATCCTGTTGTTAAGTGTGCTGCCTGGTCTTATGCATTGCAGACAGAACAGAGGAGGGTGCTATTTGATGCCTATGTCAGACAGATGGAGGTGCAAAGTGCCCATTGGCAGTAAGTGGAACTAAAAACTATATGCACACATCCCCCTGCTGGGGAAGAGGAAGAGAGGATGGGAGAAGAATGCGCCAGATGGAGTCATCAGACCAGAACCAGCAGCAATTGAAAGTCGAGAGAGGCCAGGCTGTGAGGGAGTGTATGGTAGGTCCAGGAGGAGGAGGGTGAATTATGGGAAAGGTTGTTAGATGCCATTGTGAGATGGCTTCAGTGGAGTGGAAAAGGTAGAAACCAGACCGGGGTGGAGTTGGAAGAGAGGAATTTGAAGCAGTGGTTGTGAAGGGCACTCTCAATGAATTTAGAGGAGAAAGGAGATGGGGCAGTGGCTGGAGAGGCAGGTGAAGTCAAGAAGGACGCTTTGCTGATGGGGTTAATTGGGGCACGCCTAGATTTTGAGGGGAGCAAGCTAATCAAGACAGCAAATGGAAGGGAAAGCGATAGCCAGGTGGGGATTGTATTGAGGTGAGTGGAGGGGGTTTGGGGGAGAGAGCAGACAAGGAGCCATGGGATTGGGGAGAATGAGAGGCTGTTGGAAGCTGCAGAGGCAGGGAGAAGGAAAGCCAAGGGAGATCTTGTAAAGCTGTGTCTTTGAAAAAGGTGGCAAGACCTTGTGTGGGAGGGATGGTTTCAATGGGGAATCAAAGGCAGGAAATGAGTGCCAGGAGAATTGTTTTACAATGAGTATGCCAGGCCTGACAGAGGAGAGAACCTAGTATCATTTAATGTTCTGATGATGAAAAGCTAGCATTCCAGTGAGTCAGTATGGTCTGTGTTAAATGGATTAAATGCCAGCTAGCTGATAGGTTGCAAAATGTAATTGTTAATTGGGGAATGATCAACTAGAAAGGCTGAGAATCTGTTCCTGGTCAATGCTATTCAGTAATTTGTGAATGAACTGGAAGAAAATGTAAAGTCTATTGCTGACAGTTTGCAGGTGATGACACAGACTGGTAGCAGGTAAGTTACTAGGACAGGTTGCTTGTAGAAGGACATAGACCACTTGGTAAACTGGGCAAAGTCAGATATCCATCTTCATGTGGTCAAATGGAAGGTCTTACATCTACGAACTAAAAATATAGGATATACCTAAAGAATGGGGGACTAAATTATGTCAAGAAATGATTCTGCAAAGGGCTTGCAGGTGATGGTGGGTACATTGAAAGCTTGTGTTCAGTTGATTGGTGCTGGGGTTAAAAGGGCCAACTCAGCATTTGGATATGAACAAGGAAATATCGAATAGGAAGGTGATACTATTATCTCTTCATGCAGCATTAAGGAAACTGTTTCTGGAAGCCTGCGTTCATTCCGGTGTCCACATTTTACAAGAAGGTTGAAAAATTGGAGGGTTTATAAAGCTAAATGATTTGCAGAATGGAAAACATCTCTAAAATGAGAGACTATTATACATTATGATCAAGTAACCACTTAACCTTGTTTGTTAAACCAAGTACCTGTGTTGGTAGAAGACATGATAAGAGATGGTTCTTAAACCTATAAGACAAAGGCATGACAAGAGCCCTTGGCTGGAAGCTAAGCTACATAAGTTCAAACTGAAAATAAGGTGCAGATTTTTAAAACTGAGGCTGATTTGACTATCAGAACAGATTAAGAATTTACTATACCTCTTGGCAATCATTTTAACTTAAATCAAGACTCGATGTCTGTCTAAAAGATACATTCTAGCTCAGCCAGAAGTTTTGGGGGGCTTGGTGCAGACTCTCACAGCATGAAGCTCTATGGCCTGTTATATAGAAGGTTGAACTGGATGATCACAGTGCCAAGAGCATAAAAATCTATTTAAATTTCATTTCAATTTGATAAGTCACTTTAAGGCCTGAAGTTACTGTAATCTCTGTGGCTCGAAAGCTTCTCTTTCGCCACCAGAAGTTGGTCCAATAAAAGATATTACCTCAACCACCTTTTCTCTATTATCTGTTAAAATAAATTAAATGCTAAATCAGTTACTTCTCATAGACTTGAATGAGTTAAAAGCTGCTTTTTATATAGAGTCAGGGGACAACATCTCTACTTTTTGGGTCAGTCTTTATAAATACGGCACAGTGTCAAGTACCGCGTTATGTACAGTCTTTATAATAGTGTGAATGCTGGGGTACACTTTTTTCCTTATCATAGAATCATAGAATATCAGGGTTGGAAGGGACCTCAGGAGGTCATCTAGTCCAACCCCCTGCTCAAAGCAGGACCAATCCCCAATTAAATCATTCCAGCCAGGGCTTTGTCAAGCCTGACCTTAAAAACTTCTAAGGAAGGAGATTCTACCACCTCCCTAGGTAATGCATTCCAGTGTTTCACCACCCTCCTAGTGAAGAAGTTTTTCCTAATATCCAACCTAAACCTCCCCTTATGTCAGTACAGTACTTCCAGTTTGTGTAGAAAAGCATTCACTTTAGTTACGTTGGGTTTCAGTTGAGCAGACATACTTGTAGTTTCATGTTTACAGTTAAACCATCAGTCATCTAGTGTTCTTCATTGTGTAGCTTTAATTAGATTTCAATAATAAGGGTTGCCAGGGAATCTGAGGGTCCTTTTCAACTTATTAAAAAGTTTGGTTTTGTATATTTTTAGGTGAATTCCAATTTTTTTCCAAGTGTAGCTTGACACTCATCATAATTTAAAAGTTCATTTAGTAAATCAGAAATACATCATTTACCATTGTGTAGCATTAAAGATGTAGAAATTAATCATCTGAATAAGTGTAAAGTTGTATGATAGCCTAAATCTGTATAATTATAGTGCAGCCTCTGGGTTAGGAAAAAATACCAAACCTAGTGTAAAGAGTATATGAATCCAATCAGCAAGTTCTAAAGGTTATACCAACCGTGAGAATGAACTTTCCTTGGGAAAATAACTAAAGTACAAACAGAAAAAAAATAAATTAAGATTATCTACGTGCTGATGTAAATCATGATGAAAAGTGGTGAGTTAAATCCACCCTGCCATGGTGGTCCCTTCTGGCCTTAACATCTATGAAATTTCAGGTTGAGGGACATCTACGTGTCTGCAGGGCTTTCTCCAGAGGGGGTCAGAGATGCAGGAGCAGGATTGGTGAAGCAGATTTTGAGCGTGATCCAGGTTGCAGGGGCAGATTTTGCAGTGGAAGAGAGAGACAGTGGGAGTGGAGGGAATTGGCAATGGAGTCGGCAGGGGAAAGGGGGACTGAGTGATATAGAAGCCATGGACGTGGGTGGGTTAGAAGTCGAAGAGCTGGGGGGGCGGGGGAGTTGCAAGAAATGAGGATGAAGTGCAAGGAGGAAGGAGAGAGTAGAGCTGACTTTCATTCCACATAGTTTAAAAATCTGAATTAATCCTGGGACCAGTCATCTGAGGTTGGCCCACAAGAGCTCCGCTTTTACAGAGCGGTACACTTAGAGGTAAGGGACTGGCTCATGGTTGCAGTCAGTCACTAGCAGAGCTAGAATCAGGATCCCGGGTATTCTGACCCCCGTTCCTATGCTCGAACCATCAAACTCTACTCTCCGTTCTTCCTCCGACACAAATGGCAACTGCTAACAAATCCCTGATGAACTAATGAGGGGTGGGGGGGCAATTAGACCCTCTGGATATCTGTCTGATTTTAGATTAGGAGTGTGGGAGCAGTGGCCATTGGTTTCTTTCTCAGCAGATAACCATATCTTCTGTCTGTCTTGTCTTAGACCATATTTTGAAGGCCTGTCACACTCCAGCTCTCAGACAGAAATTGGTAGCATCCACAGCATCAGAAGCCAAAGAGAGCCATCAAGTCCTGTAAGTCACTGTTTCCAAAGGGTTATTTATTGGCAGAATGATGTTGCTACAGCACGGTGTACTCTTCCCAACCAAATAGCAACATTTCACCTGAAATAAATGTACACTAGCCAAGCAGTATTAACCTGCCATGTAGTTGAATGTGTTCAACCTTGATGATCATGCTGTGCTGTAATTCATGCCGATACCAGCCTCTTTCTTTGTGTCTAATTCTGCATAGCTGGTGAGTGAGGCATGAATCCAGTGCTAAGAGAGCCTGGGTAAATTTAAAAAGCAGAGTTGCAGAAGTTTGAGTTTCCCATGGCAGTAAGTTAGACTGCATGTTTTGCCTGTTTACGATGTTAAAAGGTTTACTAAACAATCCTACATTCAATTCCACATAAGAACCGGAGTAGCAAATGTTTCCTGTAGGAGCCTTAACTGCTTGAGCATTGCATGCATGTGTCTGTGTTTAAAACATTCAGATAGCAGTGCCCATCGGGGCAACCACACCCCACCTATGCCCTCTTGTGGGGCCCCTGACTTATATATGGGAAGGGTTGAGTGCCATCCCAAATGCACCACAGTTCTGTATGATGTCTGTAGTCAGGACAGGACTCAGAGGTGCTCTCAGGTGTATATGAAGTAGGGCTTTGTTCACAGGCAGGAGTAGTTTTAGTTGGGGTTGGGATTCGGTACCTAGAACCCTTCAGACTGAACTAAGAGGTGGTCGTGTGGCTGCCTTGGCATGGCTCCAGGGTGGGCGGAGAGGGGTGCTGCTTAAAGGAAACTGTTTTGGGGGCAAGGTGCTGTTGTGCAGATGGCATCTTGGGTTTTGATGTGAACAGTCAGGCTTGGACTTTGTCTGCTCTCCTTTGGCAAGAAGCCCCATAAAAAAGGTCTTGATGCAGCCAACATTCTGCCCCCAGCACCTGCCTCAGTCTTCCAAGCAGCAGCATTCCTGTGAACCATTATGTTTGTACCTCATGTGTGACTGTCTCTGGCAGAATCAGACCCTGTCCATTAAGGAAGCCAGTGGAGCCGACAGAGCAGGGGTGTTGAAGGTGGGCTGCTGTGTGCTGTTGCGCCCTCAGTATCAGTTAATGTTCAACCCCGGGCGGTATCAAAACCACTGCTGGAGGCCTTGTGGGGGTTGGGATCTCTGCGGAAAGAGGCTTTCCCTGACAATAGTTTGCCAGGCCATCTTCTGTTATGGCTTCCTAATTGACAGGTGTTTTAGTGAAACATTTCATTGTTTAAATTGAAGATCTGAGGGCGGTTCAGGGTCTGTGTATGTTAGCCTTGGACTGGCAAGGTAGTGACCACCTAAACCTCCTGTGAATACTGCCCAGCAGCCCTCCATTGTGAATCTGGCTTGGAAGCAGTGAGGTATGAAGTGCACATCTGTAGGGCTGTGTGCTCTAGTGCAGGGGTTCTCAACCTTTTCTTTCTGAGGCCCTCCAACAAAATCCCAAATGAATTAATGGGGGCAAAAACTCCACAGCCCATCTTTGCCACAACAACTGGTGTTCTGCATAGAAGAGCCAGGGCTGATGTTAGGGGGTAGCAAGCAGGGCAGTTGCCCAGAGCCCCACAAAGCTAAGTTGCTTGGGCTTCAGCCCTGCTTGGCAGACCCCCTGAAACCTGCTTACGGCCCCCGGTGGAGAGCCACTGCTCTAGTGTGCCATGCTTTGATGACTTTCTCTTGCCAAACAGGTAGAAGTGCCTGAAAAGACAAAGAGCCCTGGAAGCAAACATCCAGGCGACAGTATCTCTGACACTATGTCTTATGTAAGTTTAAAAACTCATTTGGTAACGTTCATCCAGTAGTTTGTGTTCGCTATCCGTCATACACTGGGTGGGCTTTGTCTATATCATCATGGCAAAGCCCAAAGGGACGTAGCCTTGCAGATCAGTCTCTAGCTAACTTCTTAAGATGGTCTGGCTGGGGGTTCAGTTTATGTCCATTCCTGGCGATCTTATCACACCATGAAAGCTTTCGTTATGAGTAGTTGATGTGGGCGGAACATGGTTCAGTTAGTATCTGAAGTTAGTATCTGCTAGAGCCAGGGAGAGCAGAGGATTTCTGTGGCTTTTCACATCACTATTTGTGTTTGTAGGAGCCTAGCCAGCAAGACTCCCAGGAAGCAGAACTCTCCACGCTGGATGTGTTCATTGAGAAGCTCCCACCAAGTGGAAAAATCACCAAGACAGAGTCTCTCATTATTCCTTCCACCAGGTAACACCCTAAGCAGCAATAGCAGCAGGCATCACATCTGCTATTGGAACTGGCTAATATGGTATGGAAGCGCTTCATTTTTTATATAGTGCACCACTTCAGTTTATGCAGCAAGGGTAATCAGCTGTCTTTGGTCACACTTATCTGACCCCCATTACATAGTATCTGAGTGCCTCCTCAGTCCTGTGAGGTAGAGCAGTGTTCAGCCCCTGGAATAAGGGTCTCATTTCATCAGCAGAGGCTATGTCTGCAGGATTGGTTTGATGGTCTTCCTTCCACGCTTCCTCAGCTAGGATGGTAGCTGGCTGGGACTTGGCTCCTTGAGGGCACGTCAAGGTGGGTGTGGATGGGGTAGGAGCTGGGAGGTGCAGTTCTCAGGGACCGACTCCAACCTGCAGGATGCCTGGGATGGAAGGAGTGGAGGGACTGCAGGTTATGTGGAATATTGAACTGAATCATGTTCTGACAATCAGGTCCCTTTTGAGAGGTGTCATGGTGGACAGCCAAAATTATTAGTCTCTTCTGACAACGTGACCGTCAAGCTGAAAGATCAGATGTTCCTTATGAACTGCTTTTGGAGGTAGACACAGTCACTTACCAGTTCCTATTGGCTTGTAGTGGTGACAGCTGTTTGGTCTATGGGTAATAAGGTGCTGGATCTCACTCCAGTTCCTAGCGGACAGATGTCATTTGCTTAATTTTGTGGCTTAGTTTGAAAAATCCCCTTGATAAATTAAAACTGATAGGCAGTAATTGGCTCCCTTGTAGGCATTCTTAGAAAAGAGGCCAAGAACTGAATAAGCCATGGAGACTCTGCTATCTCCCCACTAGAGGTGATGGGCCCTCCATGGTGGGTGATGTATGATGGCAGGGCAAAGGGGAGGATGTTTCTATTGCTGCTTCCTGTACTGTAATGGCAGGGACCTTAGGCCCCAGGGCTGCTAATCCAAAGACATTCACCAATACTAACACCGGACAAAGTTTATATACAAATGATTTATTAAAAAATTGAAGTGGTCTAGCTGCCTTGTTTGTCCAGCAGGGCAGTTTGAAGTCACTGGGGTTAGAGTAGCTTGGATTTCAGGGCTACCTTCAGTTAGTATTTCTGATTAGTCTTTCTCAAGCAAAGTGCTAGACATTCCTCTGGGGGGCAGGTTCATAAACTATGGAGGGGCAGGAGGTGTCTTGGGCTGTTGGCGGGTCTCTGACCTGAGCACACTATGCAGAATCCCCTTGATGCAGCTCAGGATAACCCTTCTGGCAAACAGCTTCTCTGTGGCCCTGAGTGAATGGTGACTGTGTAACCATTGCAATTTAGCAGGACAGAAGGGAAGCAAACTGGTCGCCGTGGGAGAAGCACTTCACTGAAGGAAAGGCAGCCAGCGAGGCCACAGAATGAGAGGGCAAACAGCCTGGACAATGAGCGCTCTCCAGACACCAGGCACCACCTGCAGGTGAGATGAGCTCCACCCCCTTCACAGCCTTCCGCTGTGCATCCTTCCCCAAAACATCCGCTGTGGCTCCTGTTCCACCGGCCTTCTCCCCTCTGAAGGCCAGGGATGTGGCTCCACCGGTACACGATGAGTTGAATTTTTTTCTCAGCTGATATCCCATTTTCTGTCTATTCTCGCTGCTTTTGGTTAGTGCGTTGCTTTATATCAACTAGGATGAGACTGAAAAAGACTGGGGCAAATGGCAGCAAAAAGAACTAAATGGTGATCTCTTAAGACTACCCCCAGGAAATGCCTAGTTTGAAACAGAGGGGTTCCCTAAGGTGATCCAGTGTCCATAGCACAAGGGGGGAAACACAAAAAGCCACATCAAGTCCTCAGAATCTGGGTCAGCTGACCCAGTCTCGCGTTAAAGAGCTAAAAAGGGCAGCGTAGACATTTCCGCTTGGTCTGGAGCCTGGGCTCGGAGACACCCCCCCCCCTTGCTGGGTTCCAGAGCCCAGACTTGAGCTCAAGTGGGAATGGCCACACTGCTGGTTTTAGCCAGACTGTGCAAGCCCTGCAAGCCAGAGCCAGTTGACTGGGGCTCTGAGATTCACTGCCACAGGTTGTTTTGCAATGTAGACGTACCCAAAGTGGTGTTTCTAGCAAAGTCCCTACTCCGTGTCCTGGGACTTTTATTAGCCACAGAATTTGGTAATATTGGACCCAGAAAAAAAAATTACTGAAAATCTAGCCCCCCAGCAGCGACTGTAGTTGATATTGGTTGATACAACTACTTTGTTGTTGTGTGTCCTTTTGTCATCACGGAATCACTGACAAAACAAATCCCAGCTACTTCAGTAGTATGTGGAATATGTGCTTTGGAAATGTTACTGGGTCTCTGCCTCATCATGCGGTAGAGCTCCCAGCTTCTATAAAAAACAGGGCTCTTGGAAGTGATGGAAATAGAACATAGTCTTATTTGTGTCTTTCATACAGAGCATCTCCGAGAACTTCACAAAAATAATGCTGCTGGTTCAGATCTATGACCAGTTTGTCCCACTGTTCCATTCTCTGTTTGGGGGTTTGTTTGTTTTTTTTGTATTCACAGATTCCAAGGAAAACTGTGTACGATCAGTTGAATCACATCCTGATTTCTGATGACCAGCTACCAGAAAATATTATTCTTGTCAATACTTCAGACTGGCAAGGCCAGGTAAGTGCAGGAGAACAGATGCTGAGCCCTAGGTTTTCCCGCAGGCAATTCCTGTTGCTCTCTGTACAGGGCAGGGAGGACAGGATTTTTAGCTTACATAAAAGGAAGAGCGAAGCAACCACTAAGGTTCATATTTTTCTATCTAGTAAATGGGTCTGATAGTATTTGGGAGTTGTGGCAGCAGGTAACTCATGGGCCGAGGGATCTTATTTTCACAGAGAATTATTGCACTTCAAGGCGGTTCTTAACATGAGCCTTCCATGAACACACCCCCTTCCACTTAAGGTGGCACTCTCCTGGGTTAATCAGATAAATTTTTTCCTTGCTCGTTGGAAATGGCTGAACGGTTTTTTCTCTCCAGGACACTTGAAAGGAAACCCTCAGAAAATGAATTGAGATGGGGTACTTGGACGGGGGGTGGGAGGAAGGGGATGCCCAGCAGTACGTATTCACAGGGACTCTCCTGGCCCTGTAATGGAGTGGAGGAGCAAAGGATAAAATCTTTGGATGCTACAGAACTAGCATAGGAGGGCAGTGCTAAGAGAGGCAGGGAATGTGTCCAGTAGAAGTGAGGAGGGGGGCAAGCAGAGTAAGAGTGCAGCAGTCAGATACTTGATGTCGTCATAAAAGTGAAATAAATGCAGGGCAGGATTAACTAATTCAGTGCTAGGGCTAAGAATTTTGGGCACAGGTAACAGGTGCAAAAAATAACATTCCTGTGGGAACCTTAAAGTATCACCCCCTCCTTGCATGCACGCTCATTTGCTAAATGCACCTTACACCTTAAGTGGAATATGTAAATGCTACCATTGCGCTCTTACTATGGTGCTCGTGCTTTATTTTTACATCAGGGAGATAAGGCTTGTTTGCCTTTTTCAGATCAAGTTGCACTCCTTTCCCACCAAACTAGATACATTTAAAAAACAAACAAAAAAACAGAAAAAAGTGTGGAAAGTGCCTGATATTATAATTCATAGACCTTCTCTATAACACTTAGAATGGTCCAGTATGGAGAATGGTGGTACGAGAATCATGGGCTTGCTAGCCTTACTGCAGGTGAAATTGTTGATCTGTGTGATATTTAGACCCTGATTCTGCAGAAAGCAGGAGTGTTTAATGGAATCTAAAAAAGCAGCTTGGCAGCAGGTGAGTGGAGTGGTGTTGTTTGGCCACAGGACTTTCCCCCATGGTGCTCCGCGCTTTGTGTGGATCAGATTGGCCTACCCCATCCACATGCTCCAGGCATGAGGCCTGGGGGGCAGATGGTACAGCAAAAGAGTGGGGTGGAGGAGAACTGGGTAGTAAACAGACAGTCTCAGCATTAGCCAGTGGAGCTGACATGTGCCCAGGCTAAGTGAGGGAAACATGAAGTTGTAATTAAGGCTTTGCATGGGGGGTGTGGAGGGGAGACACTAACTGTTGTACTTGTGGCATCGGATGCATCCGATGAAGTGAGCTGTAGCTCACAAAAGCTTATACTCAAATAAATTTGTTAGTCTCTAAGGTGCCACAAGTACTCCTCTTCCTTTTGCGAATACAGACTAACACGGCTGCTGCTCTGAAACCAGTCACTAACTGTAGTGTTTCCTTAGCAGTTGGAAGCATTGGGTGGTTCTTCTGGAGGTGGAGTCTGTCGCTGTCAAGGAAAATGTGCTGTGTGGGCATCAGGGTACAGTCAGAAGAGTCCTGTAGCTGGTTTCCTCGCGTTTTAGGGTGTGAGAAGGGGAGGATGTCCCATTTGCCAACTCCTCATCCCTTTTAGATTGTTTCTGGAATGGTAATTGCAGTGGTTTAGTCTGCAGCAGCTCTTGTTTTAATCAATAGCAGCCTTTGTGGGGAACAGGGGAGAGAGGCTGCTCTAGCTATGCTTCTGTAGCAAGAAACACAAATCAGCTTGTGTTCTGTGCAGGAAACCCTGGAGTGAACTGTTTTGATTTTGTTTTTTAAAGGGGGTGGCGGAAGGAGGGGGTTGGTAATGAGCCATGTGCTCTGATGTTCCAGTTGCTGGAATCCCACCATGATTCTGCTCTCAGAAGCTCTAATGAAACATCTGGTGCGATCTGTTTGACACCTTGGTACCAGAAGTGGTACATTCTGGGGGAGATGTCACTGTGCCAGCCAATAAGACACACTCTTAGGGCATGCCTATGCTGCATTCACCTGGTTGCAGCTCTGACAGGTGTAACCGGCTAGCTTTAATCTAGCTATCATGGCCAAAAATAGCAGTGAAGACTTGGTGGTGCAGACCCTGGCAGTATGTCCCAGCCTGGAACCTGGGTACATTCTTGTGTTGCTAGCACACTGGGTCGCTGCCACTGCATCTTCACTGCTATTTTTAGCCGTGCTAGCTAGATTAAAGCTACTGTGAGTATACCTACCTGGGCTACAGTCATGCTTCTGATTGCAGTTTGGACACACCTTAGAAGGGCTCTTACTCCTGGAAGAGGTGTCATAGAAAACTGCAGCATGGAGTGCAGCCAATAATTCCAGGAGCTGGAAACGCCTATGTCTGAAAATACTCCAGCAGGGCAAATTTACGTGTATGTGTGTTTCTGACTAAAAGTTTGGGTAAAATCAAGTCCTTTTGGCAGAGCTTCATAACATGTTTCATTGTCTTCCCAGTTTCTTTCCGATGTCTTGCAAAAACATACCCTGCCTGTGGTCTGTACGTGCTCTTCTGCTGATGTGCAAGCAGCTTTCAGCACGATTGTCTCCAGGATACAGAGATAGTAAGTTCACGTTTTATTTAGTGTTAAATTATTTAAATTTAAGTACAATAAGATGTCTGTTCCCCACCTCCAGACAAACTAATGACGTAAAATAACCATATGTTCACAGGGCAGACTAGAGAGCTACATACCACAAAACTGAAATGAGTTTTCCCTCTAGTAATTGATGTAGTCAAGAAATATACCCCACCATCTAAATCTCATCCATTCCCTAATGTCCTAGCAAGCTGATGGTCTTTGCAGCATGCCCTAAAGGTGAAAAGACACAGGCTATTTGGATCAAGAAGGGGAAGCAATTCCCAGAGCCTAGAAGACCTCGGGAATTATGCATTGCCAGAAATCTTATACTGAGGAGTTCTGTAGAAGTACCTCCACTGACCCCCAGCTGTGTTGTTCTAATGGGAAGGGGGACAGGTAGCTAGGACCCAGGCTGTCTGGGTTTTGTAAATCACAATTTACCCCTGAGCTTTATCTTCAAACCCCTGCAGTTGGTTCAGTGTCTGTCCAAACCCAGGTCTGTGTCCTGACTGACAGGGATCCAGGAGATCCAAAGCACTTACTTCATGGGAGCTGTCTGACCACACTTTCTTCTGTAACCTTGCTCAGAAACGGGAGATTGGCTCTTGAACAGGAATGAGCCAGTTTAAGGTCAAGGGATGGCTTCTTCCCCCATTTGGAGTGGTGGGGGTCCCTCCCAGGGAGGTAGGGGCAACAACACAGCCCCCATGTTCCCCCAGATGCCACAGCAGGAGTACTTATTTCCCAGAGAGGAGCTTGTAGCCAAAGCGGGGTGGCTCCTTTAGTACTCAGTAGCAGCCTGGGTATATCTCTGCTGGGGTAGTGCTGGGAGGACCCACCAGAGCAGTGGGCCTCGGAGTTAACATCTTCATCGAGATTAACAGGACAGTTCACGCCTTCCAGAGCTATTGTTTCGGGCTTCCTGCAGACTCAGGCACCACACTGGTCTTATTTTCAAACTTTAATCACGAGGGCTTGAAACTCATTGCTCTAAGGGAGTATAACCATGCCTTCCTAGGTCACAACTGAAAATACCAAATTCAGGACAAACTGCTGAGAAATAGGGCACCCCTCCTCTCCTCCCCCCCTCCCCCCAAAAAAAAACACTTGGTGGTTATTCTCCCATAAGGTATACCAAACCAGCAACAAAAGTAAACTTCTGTTTCACCACATTGGCTAATAAGTCAGAAAAGCAGTTTCCTTCGGTATTCCAGTCCCAGATTCAACACTCAGACACCAGACTTAAAGATGAATGTTTTTTTTAAAACCAGTTTCATCAGACAAAAGGTGATTCTAATCCCAAAGGACCAGCCCTATACCCAGGTCAATATACAACTTCAGATCTTACCCAATAATCACACTGTTGCCAGTTCTTTAGTATCTAAAATCTAAAGGTTTATTTATAAAAAGAAAGAAAGAAAGGTGAGAGTTAAAATTGGTTAAAGGAATCAAATACATACAACAATCACAAAGTTCTTGGTTCAGGCTTGTAGCAGTGAGGGAATAAACTGCTGGCTTAAGTCAAGTCTCTGGTTGCTTCCAAATCATTGGAACATCCTCAAATTCCTTGGTTAGAATGCTTCCGGTAGTATAAATTCATAGTCCAGAGGTTTGAGCAGGAAAGAGGCAAAATGGAGATGTTTCCAGGGCCTTATGTAGCTTCTACAATGTGGAGGGAAACCCATTGTTTCAAACAAAGCCCTCAGCACAGCTAGTGGAAAATCACAGTGAACAAAATGGTTTGGAATCGCAAGGGCAAGTCATATGTCCATGCATGGTTTCGCCTAGGGCTTGTCTACACTGGCACTTTACAGTGCTACAACTTTCTTGCTCAGGGGTGTGAAAAAACACACCCCTGAGTGCTGCAAGTTTCAGTGCTGTAAAGTGCCAGTGTAGACAGTGCACCAGCTCTGGGAGCCATGCCCCTCGTGGAGGTGTGTTGTTTTTTTGTTTGTTTGTTTGTTTTGTTTTTTTTAGAGCGCTGGGAGAGCTCTCTCCCAGCTCTCTGCCGCAACTACACAAGCCACGTTAAAGCACGGCCACGGCAGCACTTGAACGTTGCCAGTGAAGACGTGCCCTTCGTTACAGTAGTAGCCAGTACCTGTACTCCAGATGGAACATTCACAGGAAAGTCCATTCATTAAGTGTAGATAGGCATCTTCCGTGGTCCATTATGAGTTAAGTGTTCCTTGATGAGCCATTTAATTTGAATAGTTCCTTCAGGATGTTCAGGCTAAATACCTTGTGGGCGTTACCCCAGGAGCAAGCCTATTTGAAATACAGGTATAGAGTCAATGCTCATAACTTCAAATACAAAAATGATACATGCATAGAAATAGCATAATCATATTCAGCAAATCATAGCCTTTCCATGGACACCTTACTTGACATAATTTGGATAAGATTTGTTGAAATTATATAACAGTGGTAGCAACAACAATCTACACGGTCATGTTTAATCTCAGACCCCAGAAGCTGAGGCCATAGGCGCAGTCTTGTAGTACCTGTGTCTTAATCTGGTGCTGGGAGGGACCACAGACCAGTCACCACACAGACAGCTCAGATTAACAAAGCCATCCATAACTCTACATAAGTGTGTCTGGGATCCTGTGGATGCGATAGTGGAAGCAAAGAACCATTTCTTTGCCTCCTGCACAGCCACAGCATAACAAGTGAACTCTTTATGCCCCAGATGATTAGCTTCAGCCAGAGACTTTGGCTACCAGTACTCTAGCAGAGTGAGCGGAAGTTGTTACCCCTCAGCAACATGAGTGCAGGGATAAGACCGAATATTTGTGGATAATTCTCTGCATACAGTCAACTGTACATCATTCTCAGTGAAATTTGTTGCGTATAGTAAGTCTCTGGTTCTAAGCTTAATGCCCAGTGAGGAAATCTTTAGAAGTCTTGGAAAGGAAACTGATGGGAAGATTTTTTTAACATAATTTGTAAAAATGTGAGAGTAAAGGTATGTCTGAGCTGCAAGAAAACACCCGTGGCTGTCCCATATCAGCTGACTCTGGCAGTGGGGCTAATTGCAGTGTAGACATTTGGGCTTGGGCTGGAGAGTGGCATCCCAGAAGACCAGGCTCCAACCTGAGCCCAAATGTCTGCACTGCAATTCTGCAGCCCCTGAGCCCTGCAAGCCTGAGTCAGCTGACATGGGCCAGGCCCGGGTGTTTTGTTTCAGTGCAGACATCCCCAAAGTCACTAAAGGCAGCAGTGCACGCTGGGGGGGTCCCTTTTCGTCATTTTTCCCAACACGATTGGTAATAATTGAACCCTACACAGAAAACCCAAGTACAGGCTTTCATAGCTTGGAAAGAGTTGGGGGTGGGGGGGTGGAGAGAGAGCAGGGAGAACAGTTGAAAGTTTGTTTCTGAAGCAAATGGTACATTTCATTAATACGTTTTAAGATGTTGCTCAGTGTAAGATTGTCCTACATGCTAGAATAGCTCTTTCCTGTGTGGCAGCCATTAACTAGATTGTCTATATCAAGCAGTCTTTCTGACTTACTTTAAAGTACTTATTTAGAAGGCAAATGATAAATATGTTCCCTCTTTTTTTTGTCTAGCTGTAACTGCAATTCTCAGCCTCCAACCCCCGTTAAAATTGCAGTGGCCGGAGCCCAGAATTACCTCAGTGCTGTGTTGAGGCTCTATGTAGAACAGCTGTCTCACAAAACCCCGGACTGGCTCAGCTACATGAGATTTTTGATCATCCCACTAGGTAAATAAGTCACTATTTTCTTCACAGAAAGATGAATGGCTTAAATCAAGTGCGCTCTCTCAGGAATTGCCTTCAGGAAATCCTGGTTAGGATGCATTCCAAAGGCCACATTCTTGCTGGCCATTAAATGAGACAAATATTGCACTGCTATAGTATTTAATATATATATTACGGTCCTGTCACGGTAGTGAATTTCATCTTTACGTTCCTGATGCTAAATCCTAAACTATTGTTGGGAAGCAGCCATTAATCATTCATATTAAATGCAGAGGATTGAAATGAGCTCTCCCAAGACAGAGCTATGTTACAATATTAATCCTCTTGCAGTGTATTTTTAACTTAAGTGTATAATGAACTTTTGTGAATGTTCTGCTCGCAATCCTGTTCACAATTGCTATGATTTACTACGGTGCAAGTGGTGTTTGAACTAATGACTGTATTCTGGACTCTTATTTCTGAGATTGCAGCTCAAGATGTTTGTAGAAAGTAACTGAGAGGCTGTTGAACTCAGAGTATGGTTAATACTCAGTTAACAGGAAGCACCTTTAAATTGTTACACGTTTTAAATGGAAAAGAAGGAAACTACAAAAAAACTAAATGGGCTCTGAAATTGCTGAATGATAAACTGAGGGGGAAAAAATTTTGGCCTTTCCTTCTACCTTCATAGAATCATAAAATATCAGGGTTGGAAGGGACATCAGGAGGTCATCTAGTCCAACCCCCGGCTCAAAGCAGGACCAATCCCCAACTAAATCATCCCAGCCAGGGCTTTGTCAAGCCTGACCTTAAAAACCTCTAAGGAAGGAGATTTCACCACCTCCTTAGGTAACCCATTTCAGTGCTTCACCACCCTCCTAGTGAAAAAGTTTTTCCTAATATCCAACCTAAACCTAAATCTTCAACTTAAGACCATTACTCCTTGTTCTGTAATCTGCTACCACTGAGAACAGTCTAGATCCTTCCTCTTTGGAACCCCATTTCACATAGTTGAAAGCAGTTATCAAATCCCCCCCTCTTTCTTCTGTTCTACAGATTAAATAATCCCAGTTCCCTCCGCCTCTCCTCATAATATTATACCAATAAAATAAAAACCAGCAGGATTTATAATCATCAGTGTCACCTTCTCTGTAGACTATTCAAGAGAAGGTACTGTGAGGCAATTTGAGTTGTGTGATTCCAATTCATCCCACATACATGATCCTAGTGATGTATCTTTACTACAAGGTTCTGGGGCAACAGGCAAGGTGAGGCACACCCACTTTTGAGGAGTCCATTCTGTACAACTTCTAGTGTCCAATAGCTTTCCTCCCTCCCCAGCTCACTGGCTTGAGGTCCAGGGTAGCCAGAAGGATCCCATGTGTAATATGGGAAGTGAGCTAACCTTCCATACCTTTGCCTCCAGGGACTGTTGGTGTGCAATTTTGACAAAAATTGCTCCCAAATAAAAGTCTGGTTTTACAATACTGGAAACGTATTGCATCCTTTCATATTGATAAGTGTCAAACAATGATCTATTTCTTTGTTTTATATTAGGCTATCCTGTAGCTGGGACAGAGAGCTTAATTTATTCTTAATTACCTGCAGGTCTGCAGTATTTTTTTTTTTAACACACAACAGTGCTAGCAACAAGACAAAACATAGAACACAAAACACAATTTCTATTGTGACAGTAGATTCATGGTATTGGGTTGCTCTTCAGCTGGCATCAGCTTTTCCTGATTTTCTGAAAGACAAAAAGAACATGTTTCTACTTCTTTTGGGGTGGCAGATTATTGCTTAAAATATTTCTTTTACAAATACCCTTGCTGATTGCAGGCAAAACAGAGGACTTACCCCCATATTTTCCTGTTTGTTCTATAGGCAGGCCAGGTTTCAATGGCTTCTATCTTTTAAGGGTTATGGGGAAATTATCCCACTGTTTAGTCATTAAATCCCTGAGGTGGGGTACCTCAGTTTCCCTTCTTATTCAGCAGACCAAGTTTATAATGGTTTTTCCTGCTGTGTTAAGCTTTAAGTTTATTTACAGGTAATAGCTAAGAAGCATCATTATCATTTGACCTTAAAGGATTTTTCCAAAAATCATACACACTATACATTGTTATGGGGTACTTATCATTAAATTTATTAAAGTTATCTTGTTATACCATGCCTTTTATTTAGACAATTTGTTTGCTAACCATGTATGTCCTTTATTTGCAGCTCCTTTGTGTTGCTAGTTCTTTCCTTCCTTTATCATTTAGGTAATTTGCATTTTCACAGGCGCTTCCTGCTTGCTTTTGGATTTACAGCCATCAGCAGCTCAGAGACTCTATCTTAAAAGGAACACAATCAACTTTCACCAGAGTTTTGATTACTTTTAACTTCTGCTTCCAAAACACACAGCAATCTGAAAAAGGCCACGTCTACACTACCCGCTGGATCGGCGGGTAGTGATCGATCTATTGGGGATCGATTTATCTTGTCTAGTGTAGACACGATAAATCGATCCCCGATCGCTCTGCCGTCGACTCTGGAACTCCACCACTGCAAGAGGCGGAAGCGGAGTCGACGGGGGAGCAGTGGCCGTCGATCCCGCGCTGCGAGGACGCGAAGTAAGTGATTCTAAGTCGATCTAAGATACCTCAACTTCAGCTACGCTCTTCTCTAGCTGAAATAGCGTATCTTAGATCGATCCCCACCCCCAGTGTAGATCAGGCCAAATAAAACCCAACCTATTGTGGCTCCCTTTGGAGCCCTAATCGCGTTTTAATTAGGTAGCATGGTATGTTTGCATTTCTTTTGCCCCTTCTACAATATACACTGCACATGTTCTGGGGCAAATGCACGTTCCTTCCATAGCTTACCTTCTATAACATTATCCATACCAATTTTTACATAAGGTGTAACTATTTCTTTTGTGTTTAGAGTTTTCATGTACTTTTATCAAAGTGACAGTCTGATTACTCAGTCATTTTAAGACTCAGTGTTTCTAACATTGCTTCTTTTTGTTTTGTGCACCTCACCCCTGCTGTTGCTTCAGAGGGGTACTGTCTTTTTTTAATTTATTTTTTTTAAACTACAGCTCTCATCTGCTATTTTGTTACAAAAACAAACAAACCAAATAAACAAAAAGAATCCAGAATTTTTTCCTATTTTCCTGATTTTGACTGCCCTGCTGCAGCCACTACTTAAAAACATTTTAAATTTTGTAAAGCACTGAGTTACCTCTTAAGGATTAAATGCCAAATCCCAAAGCCAAACGACACTAATCACCTGTGCCTAACAAAAAGGTCTGTCAGTTTTGCAACTTTGAATTAAAGAGTCAAATGGATTTTTAGTGGCATTATTTAGAACAAAAACAAAACCAATTGGTCCTTAGAACTTTACATATTTACACACACACAGATAGATACATACACATTTTCTATTCCTTAACATCCCTTCCACACTGCTCTATTTTTTACATCTTGCATTACCTTCATACATTTGAGGCAGTTAAGTTCCAGTAGAACCCCCTTATGTTCTTTTAGCAAATTTGACGAAATTGTCCAGTCAAATGATTTTTATCGGACAGTTTATTTTTGTCTGGCTTATTTACACACATTCCTTTGGAAAAGGGCCCATTTTTGCTTCAGAATGGCTGCAAAGAAACCAAGAATTCTTTCTCTAACACTTTTCCTTTTTAACATTTTCACAAAGTTTAACTGCTTAATTCTCTCCAGCCTCTGCAGAGTTAACTTTTCACTCTCTTTTCTCTTTGTAATTATGCCTGGGGGTGCCCTACATAGGAGTCTCCCCCTTCACCCGCTGTAAGGGCTGCTACCTGTTTAGTGGCAAAGCCCAATTTTTGTCTGACTCTTAATTAGTGACTCTCAACGACTATGATTTGCAGGTGCTCTGCCCTGCTTCAAGGTTAATTTCTTTACCATACCTTGGAGCACATGATTCTCTCTTTCAGTTTTCTCAGAGGCTTTAGCTTGGTCTGACAGGAATCTTTCTCTCTCTCTGAATTCCTGGAGTGCCTCTTTCACTATTTCCAGCTGACTCTGGGTATTTGTAGCCACCACCTTCCAATTGTCTGCTCCCTTTTCCGTTTGGTTTAACTTTTCCTGTAAAGATGCCTTTTCCTCTTTATATGAAGACAAACGGAGGTAAGAATCCTAACATGCCTCCCACAACAACCAAATTGCTGCTGCATCTCTTTTGGCAGCACTAGAAGGTTTGTATATGCGGATATACTGAGCCAGTCTATCCTCTAGATCCGAAATAGTGCAGACATCAGCTAGGGCTTGTTTAGTCCAAGGACTGTACCCAAATTTTTGAAGGATTTGTTTAAAAGGTGTAATTTCTTTAACAAAAGGTGGGGTTGGAGTTGCTTCTGACTGCATTCCTCCTTCTGGTACTGGCTTGCCCTGTTTTCTTTTAAACATCTTAACACGGGTATTTCAATCTTTGTCACTCCTGGTATTATTCAGGGAGTGACACAGCCTAGATTCTGAAAACGTAGCTTATCAAATGTCCTCGTCACACCTGGCACAGGTCAGCGAGTGACACAGCCTAGATTCTTTGATCCTGCTACTCCTTGTTCCAGCGAGCAGCACTGCCTGGCCCTTAGGCCTTCTTGTTGCTCCTGATACTTCAGTGAACAATAGGACTTGGATTCTGTAATCGTAGCTTAGTAATATGAGCTCTGTATATTTTACCTCTGCCTTCTGGAGGTCAGAAGGCTAGTTAACCAAATAGAAATGCCTAGCTCAATAGAGGAGCAGTGTGCACACCAATATTTACAATAACTGAGGTTTTTTACCAATATTCCTCCTTTCGCAGTTCTCCACCAAAATGTTATACCAACAAAATAAAAACCAGCAGGATCTTATTAAAGGGGAAAAGGCAAAATGCCACATTTATTGTGAATACAGAAAGAATCATAGTAAGCAGTTAGTTATAGCTATAACATTCCATTCAATTTCATATTTATTCACACATTCATTCATACACACACAGGTTCTGCAAGGTTGTTG